TTTTAGGATCGCCCGGAGCCACCCCCCACCCCCCCCCGCGTCGCGTCGTCCGAGCCCGAGTGCTCCCGGACCCCATACGAACCCGAACTCCAGGCCGGGCCAATTTCCGGCGCTCTTGGCGGCAGGGGGTATATTACTCCCAATCATCGCCGGGGGCAAGCCGCCGGCATCGCCCTCCGTGATGCAATGGCCGCCGCCGTTAATCCTTCCGCCGGCTAGTCGGCCGCCGGGTCGGGCACCGGTTCCGCGGGAGTCAGCATGACGGCGCCCGACTGGTCGTCGTGGCGGTGACGCAGCACCAGGTCCACCCGCTCGTGCAGCGCCCGCAGCAGCCCGCGATTCTCCGCCACCTGCTCCCGCAAGCCCGCCACCTGCTCCCGCAAGCCCGCCACCTGCTCCCGGCCGGCTACCTCCTGCCGAATGTTCCGCAGCTCTTCCCAGATACCATCGATGCGGCCTTCCAGCCGGCCCACCACTGAGCTCAGGCGCAGCACCGCTACCAGCATGGTAACCACCAGCAGGCCCTGGAAGCCCATGATGGCGAAGAGGATGGTGGCGTTCACGTTGAAGTCGCCCATTCTGCTGCCTCTATAAGGTTCTTCGATCAGCATGAGGTTCTTCCAGTATGCTATTGCCCGGCGCCGCCGGGGGCAAGCGCCGCCCGAACCCGGGCCGGCCCGCTTGGGCGATTACCGGGTCAATCTTACATCGATGCACCGGATGGACAGGATTTAATGATTGGGCTGGATGTCCGGTGCGACGGGCATGACGCCGGGTGATGAACCGCCCGCCGGCATAGTCCCCATCCTGTCGATCCTGTCCAGCGATGTAAAATAGTGAACCGCGTTCGCACCGGGGCGAGCGCCGTGGCAATCCCGTGGCCCCTTTCTCAAAAATCACCCAAACCCGCTCCCTATCTGTAATACTCCCGTAATATTGACGCCGCTACAATTGCAAGCCAAGTCTGGAAATCTATCCCTGCCGTCGACCACGGCCGGCCCAACGTCGGCCCCACAGACGGCCTCACCGCAAGGAGGTGTGACCGCCAACATCTGTAAAAAGCCGCCCCACGCCCGCCCGCGGGCAACTCTTCAACCAGGCCCCGGATACCAACGGGCCGAGGGCGCAAACCGAAACTCAGGATTAAACACAGGACAATCTCGAAAGGGAGATCTTGTCAAATGAGTAGAAAAACGAGAAAGCTGATATGGTCAGCGCCCCTGGTGGCGGTGTTAGCCGTCGTAGGCGCATGGCCGTGTTGTGGCGCTGGCGCCCAACCGCGGACGTTGGCCCACGGCCTGACACGGGCGCGGTGACCAAAGCCTGGAGGCCCCAAGGCCGACGGCACGAAAGCCGTTGACTTGAGCTGGTCCGCCGCCTCAGCACTGGCGGCGCGCCCACCGGCTACCGGATTGAAGTCCCTTTGGCAGACGGGCAGGCGTGGATGGCGCCCACGCGATTATGACCACCGCCGACACCCGGTTTACCGGGCCACAAACTTGCGAAAGCGCCAGGATCCGTACGGTACTACGTGTCTTCGCCGTCAACTCGGCCGCACTTGGCCCGGTCTCCGAATACTGCCGGGCGCGGCCAGACGCTACCCTGATAGGCGCGGCGGGCGGCGTGACCCGGGTTGAAGGGTTGCCGTGGCGGCCAAAAGGAAGGCCATCAATCTTCCTTGAACGCGCGGCCAAGGAAGGCGGCACGGACTCCGATTGAGAACTGACCTGGTCGTGCTACGCCATGACTGAGGCGCACTCGGCGCCACTCCGACCTCAAACGCAGCCGAGTCAGCAGTTAGCGAAAGTACGCGATTACTGCTAACTCAGTAAAACATAGGGCATCGCCGAAGACCGCTGGGACAACACCCCACCAGTACACCCTAAAGGGACCAGGCCACCGAACAATGGTGTGGTTCCGGGTGTACGCGTACAACGGGGCGCGTTTTCAACAACCGCCCTTGAGACCCGCCCACCGGCACCATTCCGCGTGGGCGATCCGGACCCGCCCACCGGCGTGAACCGCGGTGCAAGTGCCGGGCGGGTGTCCGTTAAGCGGTTAACTGTACTAGGTACTGGCCAGCCAACGGATGGCGGTCAAGACATCGAGACTCCGATGTTCAGCGGAAGACAGGAGACGGACGCTGAGGGGGACTCTCCCCCACAGCCGTGGATTAGAGTAGGGGGTTCTACTGTTCAACACCCGAACTGAATTGTCGGTGGATTGTGAAGCAGGAACGGGTCTTCACATGACGGTTCGCCTCTGCTATGTCTGGCATCCCCCCCCGGCCACTCACAGCTACCGGGTGCGTACGGTAACGGAACTAGCACTGGCGAGAAAATGATCGTGCGAATGGTCCACTCCCGGCTCTGGTGGTGCATCGCTGCGCGAAAAGCTCATTAATCACGTAGATAGGGAAGATAGTTGTCCGGGCACTCTAACCGACGCTGACGGCGACACCCGCCGATGTAAAGGACCATGAAGGCCGACTGGCGAGCGCAAGCAAGTCTCGTACAAGCGGGGGTGGTCAACGGACCACCCCGTAAAAACCCTTACTGGGGATGACTGTCGGCAGTACGGGATGGCCAAGGGCAATGTTGAGATTACGATTTCCCGCCATATTCCCAAAGCCCGCCATTACAATCTTCTATCAATAAATCCATATCCAAGCTTCAGGATTGACGTTGCCAAGTCTGGACGGAAGTGATATAGACGATTCCAGCCAGATGGAGGCCGGTATTTGGATACACGGCATACTTTGGGCACCGGGGCGAGTTCGTCTATGAGTCTTCTGGGACCCGAACGAAACCAACCGGCAGCCAGCTACAGTAGTACCGGAGTCTCGGTAAAACCGGACAGCAATCATTCGTGGCCCGCGAACGACATGGTCAGTCACGTTCGAGGAAAAAAAACGGTGGTGGGGAGTGCGCCCTCCAAGGGCAATAACCCTGACGGCGACCGGGGTCAAGCGCGACCCAGATACGAGTGTTCGTGTCGTGACCCCGCTCCGACATCAGACGGCAGACGCCGCAATCGATTATTTTACTGCGTCCAGGTCAGCGCCACGTTAGCTGCGATCCTGAACGGAAAAAATGGGAACCAGTTCGACACTTGGCGACCCCCCCCAGCGCCGTGATGATGACACCAGCGAAGATCTTTGCGAAGTGGTACCGCAGGATGAATACTCCGACAGTTCGAGCTCGTGAAGGGATGAGCTACTCCACAAGAAGCTGGACGCCGCGTAGCACCTGAGTTCTTCCCGCGTTTTCGCCATCAACACCCAGTATTCGGTCGGTGATAACATCGCTACCGAAAGGGACACCATTGGGCCACACGAAGCCGGCGGACAAGCCGCCATGCCGCAAGGGCTGGTCGCGGAACAGGCCAAGGACTCCAACTACGGCGGGAGCGCCAACAGGGGTTCTTTGGGGGCGTGTACGTGACGTGGAACGCCTCGGGCTGCACCCGGAGGGGATGAGATTGCGGCGTACCGCGGTCGGAGCGCAATGGTCAACCAGGGCAGTTGGAAGACCCGGAAAGTCACACTGATTCCACGGGAAGACCATATTCTACGACATCATTGACGGCACCAGTGGGCGAAAATTGCGGGGCCTTACCGTCGCGGCGCGGTCGGAGGAAGCAACGTAGGTCCATGGTCCAACCACGGCCTACTACCCCGTCCATGCACATGTGGACACGACTCACAACGCCGCTCCCACGGCGGTCCGGCTCCATTGCCGCCCAGCCGGTATCCGCTGGATGAAGAGCGTGACGGTTGACGTCGCCGCGAAATTCTCCGACGACGGACATGGACACGATGCCCTACACGGCGCCGGTTAATTAATTGCCCGCCGACGGCAGCATCGCACCGCCGACATCCCCGCTGGCAGCAGCAGTCCCTCACCGGAGTCGCGGCTGGCATGGCCACCATCAAGGTGACCGCCACCGACTGCGGCCGGCGCCTACGGCCATGCAGACCATCGCGGTGACGGTCAAGGACGCATGTTGACGCGCGGACAACGTGATGGGCACGGTTGACCACAGCAATCCCCGAGAAGGTCCCAATCGCACGTAACCTGGGACGGCACGGCGAAAACGCCGTGGGGCACGTCGTTGCCTTGTGGACTCCATAACGACGAATTATTGACGCGTTCTCACCGCTCAACGAGAATCCACACGGGACGTACACCTCGAAGACGTGGATAGTGGGCACTTACCAATCGGCGTGTGTCGCTTGGACCCGTTGGAAGGCGGAAGCCGGTTCTTTGTCATGCTGGCCATAGCGTCCGCCGACGTCACCGTACCGTTGATTGACCCTTTGAGCAGGTTTGGATAAAGGGTCGGCCGGTTAGGTCGGGGCCGGCCCGTAGCCAAGCCGGGCGAAAGGGAACTGAGCGGAAGCAATGACAATATGATAAGGAGATTAACTCAAAAATGAGTATCAAAACGAGATAAGCGCTTCTTGCCCGGTTGCGCTGGGTAATGGCGGGTTCGCGGCACTCCGCGTGGTGGCTCTGGCCATCGTGATGGCCGGCGGTCGCCCCAGACGCGCCCAGGCTCACGGCACAGCCAGGGCTCCTGCGGACACCGCCTTTGATTCGCTTGGCGCACGACCGGGCCAACCCCAACGACCCGTGCCCGCCCAACGGCGGACCCAACGTGACGCCGACGGCGGACCAATGCCGGGCAGCATGGGCGATGGTAGCCCGTGCGACGATTTCGACACGGCTGCCACGGATGCACATGCCGCCATGGCCGCACAGCCTGCACGGAGTCACCGACAGCGCACTCCGGCTGCGGCTCCCCGATGCTCCACGTTGATCATCGTAAAGTCTCGCGGAGCCCGTGAAGGTGGGCTAGCTCCATCGTGCTGTACCTGGAGGACGACTACGCTGAACCGTCTCCGTATGCGGCCAGCTCGTACTCTCGTGGTCACGGGTGGGCGACACCAGCACCCTACCGTGACGGTGGCCGTGTATACGTCCCACACCGCCAGATCAAGACCGGCTCGCCTACTGTCGTGCGGACAAGAAGGTACATGCAGCATCCGCGTGCTGGTTCCGACATGTGTCCCGACTCCAAAACGACGGCCGTGCAGAAACGGCCAGGACTGGCCTGCAGGACGGAGCAGATGGTGACGCTGGTGGGCGAGTCCGACAATCCGGCCATCAAGAAGACCGTCGGAACATGGGCAGCACAGCACCCGTTACGCGGTCCCTCCTCGGGCCCACCGACAAGATCCCCAGCAAGTGCACACGGCTGACTGGCGACCCTTACGACGGTCGCCATGAAGCTCCATGACCTCATGACCGAGCGCAAGATCAGCTTGCCGACGTGGACAACAAGCGCGGCTACGAGCAGACCATCACCGGCTCCGGCTTCAAGGACGGCACACCGCTAGCGTCGGTACGTGGCTGCACATATGGGCACCGACGTGATTTCCGACGACGCCGAGGCCGTCGCCGTCGCAACGCGTACCTGTGGAACGCTTTGGACTGTCGCGGAGATGGTGGATCGCTGTGCGACGACCGCCCACCCGGCCAACACGTGCAACCCTCCTGCGGTTTCTCCTAGCCGCCAGACGCCCGCTTGGCTGCTGATGAACAGGCAGTCGGGATGGGCCACGGGACGTCAGCAAGGGCGCCCCCGACGAAGCCGTGCGCTGCCATCATCCGCGACGGCCACCAACGTCGCTGGCGCTGCCTGGTCGACAGTCGATCGACAGGTCGCGCGTGACCTTCGAGGTCACGGCGCCCACCTTCGACCCGGCAACCAAACACATCTGCATGGCGACGGGCACGGCAAGTCTATACCGACGTTGAGGACTTCAACCTGCAGCCCTCCATCAAGGTGGTGCCCAGCAGCGTGGCCAGTGCGATACGTCAACGTGTTCGCCCAGATCTACTCGAACGATGCGCCCGGCTTCAGCCTGCTGAAGATCAGCCGGAGAAACCGATTCCCGGCAGCTTATCGACGACCGAACCAGATTGGCTAGCGACGGTTCCGGCACGGTACCTTTGAGGTCCCCGGCGGCTATGAAGGCGTGCTGCGGATCGACGCCCGTTGGGGCACCGCAGACGCCGCAAGTGTAGCCGCGAAGGCTTGTTTCCAAGACAGCAAGATCACCATCGCGGCGCTCAGTTGAACGTCAGCAAGACCGACGTGCTGCCCAACGAGACCCTCACCATCACCGGCAACGGCTTCGGACCCAGTCCTGTCATGCGTTAGCGACATCACGCTGGACAACGTGGCCGTCATGGTCGATGAGATCCACGCGCGACTGCCCGATCGTATGTCGAGGTCTCCAACTCCGGCCAGTTCGTGGCCACCATCATTCTGTGTCGCCGCGGTGAGTGCCCACCACCCCGGTCCTCATCCCCGGCACCACGATCTGGCGTGGAGGACACCAGAAGTACTCCGCCAGACGTGGACATCACGATAGCCGAGCCCACCGTAACGGTAACTCCCGACATCGCCGGGCCCGCGTGACTACATCACCATCACCGGTGAGAACTGGCCCGTGGACAACCCGGACAAACTCGAGCGTCCGCCGACGGTCAAGATGCGAAGTGTCGCGACACGGCAACCCCGCACGTACCCTGTTCGCTGACGCGTGGGCCGTGTCACCCAGGAACACCGGGTCCATCGCAACGTGAGCCATCCCCGGCACCGTGCAGGTGAAGATGACCTACGGCGACGTGGCGAAGATCGGCTCCTTCGCGGTGCCGGCCTCCACCATCGAGGTCACCCCCGCTGAGGGCCAGCCTGGCGACATGGTCACCCTGACCGCCGGCAACATGACGGTCTACACCGAGGTTGACTACGTCGAAATCGGCGGCACCCGCAACGACGACCCGGCGTCAACACCGACCGTGACGGCAACGTCACCGTCGAGACGTGCTGATCCCCGGTCTCGACCCCGGCGTCTACAGCGTTGTCATCAACGTTGACGGCACCATCGCCATCGGCGAGATCACCGTCCTGGCCGAGTCCTCGGCCGCCGGCGCTCCCGCCGAGCTCCCCGGAGCCGTGGAGAGCCTGGGTGACAACCTGGTCGCCATCTTCCACTTCGACGACGTGGGCAAGGATGGTCGTTCTACGACCCGCGCCCCGAGTTCGCCGACCTCAACACCCTGACCGAAATGGTCAACGGTGAGGCCTACTGGATCCTGGTCAGCGAGACCGTGGACGATGTGGTCCTCAACAACAAGGCCCGCAGTCTCACCTGCCGCGGCGCCGACTGCTGGAACCTGGAGGTCTGGTAGGCCGTCGTCCCCGCAAGGGAGCGACAGTCAACCGACTGAATGAGTATCCAGTAAAGCGTCCCCGCTCCCGTGGCCTCGGCTGCGGGGGCGGGGGGACCACCCCAAGCAGGAGCAAATGAGATGAAGAGAATTGGAGCGATGGCGGCGGTGGCGTTGATTGCCCTGCTGATCGCGTTGCCCCTGGGCCTAGTTGCGGCTCAGGGCGATGCGCCGCGGGCCAACGTGCCCCCCGCCTTCATATTCGGCAACGCGATGGCCGACGGCCTTCCCGTGCCTGAAGGGACCATGATCGTCGCCATGGCCGGCGACGAGAAGATCGGTTCCGCCATGGCCATGCAGGGCGGCGGTTTCGAACTGCAGCTCATGCAGCCCATGGAAATGGACGCCATGGTCACGTTCATGATCGGTGAGCGCATGGTGGGCTACGAGTACACCTGGATGAGCGGCGACCGGATGATCATGGATCTGGCCGCCGACCTGGCTGTCCAGGGCGGGGAGGGGAGCATGGGCGCCACCGGTTCTCCCGGCGCGGCCGGCCCTCCGGGCGTCCCCGGGCCCGCCGGCAGTGACGGCGGTGACGGCCGCGATGGCCGCGACGGCGCTGCGGCGGTAGACGGACCCTCCGGGTCCCTCAGGGCGAGCAGGGCATCGCCGGGCCTCCGGGCGGTCCAGGTGCCCCAGGGTCCCGTCGGTACGATCGGTCCGTCCGGTTCCGGCGGTTCCATGGGCATCATCGCGCTGATCGTGGCCATCGTGGCCGTGATAATCGCGATCGGGGCCATCGTCATGGGGCGGCGCACCACCGCGTAACCCCAGGGCACACGGGCCCCCGGTTCGGGATCGCCCTCTAGGCGGCCCACGATCCGAAAACAAGCCTCCGCCGGCAACGGCGGGGGCTTGTTGTTATCAAAAAAACGTTCAAACCCGCGCGCCCTCGCCGATGTCGACTTCCCGCTGTGCCGGCTAGCATTAACCAACCTCCATACAAGAGTGGCAACACAAGAGTGGCAACGGGTCGATACACGACTGATAAGTGGTGCTGACCAACGGGAGCACGGACATGAAACGCAACCACCCACTCCGCCCTCGGTTCGCGGGGCGGACGATAGTGATCCTGGCCACGGCGGCGCTGCTGCTGGCGTCCATGCTGGCCGCGCTGGGAGCCGGACCCGACGACGCCGCGAGCGCCACGGCGTCCAATGCGGGCAGAGAGTGGCAGGTGTTCGAAGGGCACGCCTTCGCCGACAGCCGAATCGTTCCCATCGGGGTCTCCCTGGTGGCCTGCCTCGGCGGCTGCGAGGGCGGTTACGTCAGCGAGACCGTGGCCATCGGCCAGGACGGACGCTACAGCGGCCTGGTGGTTGAGCCGGTCGGCACGGACCGCAGCGCGCTGCCCGACGCTGACGTCATCACGTTTTGGCTGGTGAGCCACGACGACAGCGTGTCGGCCGTCCAGTCGTGGCTGTTCACCGGAGATGGCGAGACCCGCGAGCTGCACCTGAGCTTCCGCAAACTCCCGGTGCCGTCCCGCGGCCTTTCGGCATCAGGCGACCGGTCGGGAACGCTCACCACCGACTTGACCGTGCCCAATGCCGGGGAGCTGGGCCTGGCTCCGACGCAGACCCCGCGCAGCTACGTCAACTCCTGGTCCTACGCCGGAGTGCCGGTCCTGCCCGGCCTGACGGCGCTGGTCGGCGTGTTGATTGCGATCATCGGCACGGCGCTGCTGGTCCACCGACGCCGCCTCACCTGGTAGGGAGGCGGCGCACCGCTACGCGTCGTCCAGGCCGGGTACGGGGAACTGCCGGCTGAGGTGGCGCACCTCATCGCCGATGGTCGACATCGCCGCCTCGTCGCCGATGCTGCCCAGCGTCCGCACGATCAGCCTGGCCACCTGGCGGGTGTCCTCCTCGGCCATGCCCCGGCTGGTGATGGCGGGAGTGCCCAGGCGCAGCCCCGACGCGGTGCGCGGCGGCAGCTGATCGTAGGGGATGGCGTTCTTGTTGGCCACGATGTTCACCGATTCCAGGGCGCGCTCGGCCTGCCGTCCCGTGACTCCCAGCGGCGTCAGGTCCACCAGCATCAGGTGATTGTCGGTTCCACCGGCCACCAGGCGGACGCCGGCCTCCGATAGCTCCTGCGCCATCACCTGCGCGTTGGCCACCACCTGGTGGGCATAGCGGGAGAAGTCAGGCTGCAGGGCTTCCGAGAAACAGACCGCCTTGGCGGCGATGACGTGCATGAACGGTCCGCCCTGCATGAACGGGAATACCGCGAAGTCGATCTTGCGGGCCAGGTCGGCGTCGGCCAGGATCATGCCTCCGCGAGGGCCGCGCAGGGTCTTTTGGGTGGTTGACGTGACGATCTGGGCGTGGGGGAATGGCGATGGGTGGGCTCCCCCGGCGATCAAGCCGGAGATGTGCGCCATGTCCACCATCAGCATCGCGCCCACCGAATCCGCAATTGCGCGGAACCGCGGGAAGTCCAGCACACGGGAATAGCTGCTGCAGCCGGCCACGATCAGCTTGGGATTGTGTTCCCGCGCCAGCCGGTCCACCTGGTCGTAGTCGATGGTCTCGGTCTCCTGGTCCACGCCGTAGGGGATGAAGTTGTACAGTTTTCCGGAAAAGTTGACGCTCGCGCCGTGGGTCAGGTGACCGCCCATGTCCAGCTGCATCCCGAGCACCGTGTCTCCCGGCTCCAGGACGGCGAAGTAGGCCGCCATGTTGGCCTGCGCGCCGCTGTGGGCCTGCACGTTGGCGTGTTCCGCCCCGAACAACTCCTTGACCCGGTCGATGGCCAGGGTTTCGACCACGTCGACGAATTCGCAGCCGCCGTAGTAACGCCGCCCGGGGTACCCCTCCGCGTATTTGTTGCTCATCAACTGTGCCTGCGCCTCCAGCACCGCCCTGCTCGCGTAGTTCTCTGACGCGATCAGCACGATCGAATCGCGCTGGCGGTGTTTTTCGCTTTCGATGGCAGCGGCAACGGCGGGGTCAATGCGGTCAAGTACGGTGGTCATCACGGATCAGCTCCTGGGGAGGTAAGTGAAATCGATTGTGAAAGTCGTACATACATCATAACAAAACGCCGCCGCATCCCTTCGCCAGCGTCAGTATTTGTAGAAATGGTGTCGGATTTCGAACTCGGCGTCGCGTTGCGAGAATAGTTCCCAGTCCGCCCTGCGGATGGCCAGGTATGAGTCAGCTAGCATGGGGCCCATGGCATCGGTGAGCGCGGTGTCGGCCGTTAGCTCGCTGATGGCTTCCATCAGAGAAGCGGGCAGCCGTCGGATACCCCGAGCGGCCAACTCTTCCGCTGTCAAACGGGCCGGGTCGACGTCAATGAACAAACTTTTCTCGGGCCGCAGACCGCGTTCCACTCCATCCAGGCCGGCGGCGATCAGCGCGCCCAGCGCGATGTAAGGGTTGGAGCTGGAATCGGCCGGCCGGAATTCAAGGTTGGTCGAGGCCATTTCAGATCCCCAGAACCGGGACGGGATCCGTACCGCCGCCTCGCGGTTGTCCGGGCCGTAGCAGATGTATGCCGTGCTCCACGAGCCGGGCGAAATCCGTCGGTAGCTGTTCATGCTCGGACACGTCAGCGCCGTCAACGCCGGCAGGTGCGCCAGAATCCCGCCGATGAACTGGTAGGCCAGCGCACTCAGTTGGTGCTCGTCAATCGGGTCGTAAAACAGGTTGTGCTCGCCACCGCTGTCCCACGCGCTGAAGTGGATGTGGCACCCGCTGCCCGCCTGGTCGGGAAACGGCTTGGGCGCAAAGGACGCCAGCCAGCCGTGCTGCCACGCCACGTTGCGCACGGTCTCCCGGTAAATCAGGTGGTTGTCGGCGGCTCGTAGCGCGTCGACATGGCCGATGCTCATCTCCTGCTGCCCGTGCCCGAGCTCTGGGTAGTATTGCTCTACGCGCAGTCCCTGGGCCTCCAACGCCTCCACCACGTCGTCGATCACCTCCCGTGCGAACGCGTCGCCGATGCTGGAGTTGTCCAGACTCTCGTCAATCGGTACGAACCGGTCGCCTTCACGCCTTGCCAGGTACCATTCCGGCTCCAGCGCCGCCTGCAAGGTTAGGCCCATGCTATCCGCCTTGGCGAGCATTCGCTTCAGGAAGTCCCGAGGGCACGCTTCCCACGGATCACGCTCAGTGGTGAACATGTCGGCCACCAGCAACGCCCTTTTCGATGCGTAGGGCGGCATGGTGAACGTGTCCGGGTCCGGTATCAGCCGGAACTCTCCCACCGGCCCCATCCCCGCCACGATCTGCAACTGGTCCATGTCGCTCATCGCTTGCATCGCCTTCGTCACCCCAATCCCCGATTCAAGCCGCTGCTCCAGTCCCGATATGTGTGTGGACTTGCCCCGTATGATCCCTCCGTTGTCGCAGAAAAGGAACGATACAAGCTGTATGCCGGCCTCCTCGGCCCGCCGTACTATTTCCTGGTTGTCCATGTTTCCACCGCCGCTGTAGTTATTTTGCAGTATCCGCCCCGACAAGCCGGGGAGTGGCCCGTTCGACGCTTATTCTTATGGGCGCGTCCCGATCCTGATGAGGTTTTTGGTGAAGGTTTCAGGATCGTCGGGTTTGTCAGGATACAGTAGGAACGTTGGTATCAACTCGTGCTCGCGGAAGCTGTCGCACGGATATCGTTGCGGATAGCCCGCGTCTCTGTCCAGGCAGACGTACTCTTCGGGACTGTCCACGTGCTTTACCACGTTGGCTTTGTAGCACCGGCCCGGTTCCAGCGGGATCCGCGCGTCGTTGTTGGCGATGATCTTGACGAACCTGAGCTGCCTGCCGTACAGGCTCGGATCCCACACGTCTCACGAAGCCAGCCGGAACCTGCGTGCCGAGGTCGGATTCTCCAGGTAGCGGCTTTGGAGACGCACTTCTTCCCCCGCGCCGCTCGGAGACTATCGAATGCGTGGCCTTCGGTTACAGCCATTCCACTGGCGTCAGCGCAGAGGCGGGAGGAGGCGGCAGCGTTGCCGTCGGGGTTGGTGGTGCGGTGGCCGCGAGCGTTGGTGTCGGTGTCGAGGCTGGCGTACCGGTAGCCGCTGGTGTCGGCGTGGCCTCCGACGGCATCTCCTGCCGGGCTTCGAGCCATTCTTCTGGGGTCGGGCGTGGCTGACCCTGGTATTGTCAGTCAAAACACCGCTCGAAAAGCTCTTCTGCCCGTTGGTCAACGCTCCCCAGGCCTCGTTGTACGGCGCTGGCACCTCCACCATCATGCGGTTGCTCGGCGGGAACAGCCAGGCTTTGATCCGCTCCCTGGGCTGCGGATGGTCCGGCCGGTTGACCACTGTGTAGATTGACCACTGTGTAGGGATGAAAGCCGGTCAGCAGGTGGAAGATGATGACCGCCAGCCCGAAGCGGTCGTGGTTCTGGTTCCGGTTGGTGTGGTCGTCCTGCGCTTCGGATGCCTGGAATGCGAGACGTCCCAGATTGTTGGCGAACGCCCTGCCGGTGGCGGGATCGGTGAACCCATAGGAATCTCAGTCCACCATGGCGATGCTGTTCTGCCGATTGACCTGAACGTTTTTTTCGTGCACGTCGCCAATGACGTAACCGGCGGCGTGAACGGCGCGGAACCGTAGGGCCAGGTTCCGCGCCATCCGCACTCGGTCGTCGACCCGCAGCTCTCGGCCCTGCTCCTGCTCCGTCGTCTGCGCCGCCCGCCGGGCGTAGCATTCGACTATCGGCTCCCACGACGCGCGCGGGGTCCTGATGAAGGTCGTCTCGTTGGCGTATTCCCCCGTGTGCGCCGCGCACAGCGTTTTGGCTGCCCCTCCGTCCGAGTCGAATGTGATGACCGCGCCGTCGCCCGCCTGCGCGGCCGTCATCAGTCGGTCGCAGGCCATGGCGACGATCAGAGTGGACGCCAGCGCGCGCGGCTCGCAGTCGTGTTCAGTGGCGTCCACGCCACCGCGTTCTTAGCCCGCTTGACGGCGTTTCGTACCAGCGGGGTGGACTGGTGTCGGCTGGAAGCCGCCGCTGATCGCTTGCTGAGCCCGGTTGCCATCGTTGCAACCGCAGTGTCCACGGCGATCCTTGAACCCTCGTCCGAACATTGGGCCGAGCCGGCGCCGTCGGCCACCGCGATGATCTCGATCTGTCCTCGGCCGATTTCGACCGGACGGTGGGCCACGGCGTCCTGGTTCGGCACGTTGCTCCTGAAATGAGAAAACCCGGCAGCGGTGGCCGCCGGGTCTTTTGTCACTCATTCTTATGGCCCTGATGAGGATCGTCTTATAGGCGTGTGTGTGAGACTTTCACGTCTCAGCGACCCGAAATCACAGCACGTGATACAGCAGCAGGTGGTCACGCAACACGTCGGCGGCGAAGTCGTTGTTCACGTCCCGCAGCACCGAGTGGATGTGGTTCGCCCCGTCCTGCCGGTTGTCGTACTCAACCACGAAGTCCCCGCCGTGCAGCCGGTAGTAGTGGGGCTGCGCGCGGTCAACCGGCCCGCCCCAGGCCAGGTGGATCTTCTCCAGCCCGCCCTCGCGCAGCGCGGTCAGCCGCTCCTCCGCCAAGTCCGCGCGCACCCGGGTCACGTAATCGCTGGCCAGCGACATCAGCATCTCCCGCTGCGTGCCCGACATGGCGGTGGCTGGCAGCCCCTCCTCCTTGGGCAGTGACGCCTTGGACGAGTTGAACGTGATGATGTCCGCCGGCGCCTCGTCATAGATTATCGCCCGGCTCTTCTGGCCGTCGTCCAGGCTTTCCATCAGCTCCAGCGCGATGTCCTGACTGGTGCCCAGGATGCGCAGGCCCTGCTTCGGTCCCTTGCGCACCTCGGCGGGATTGGCGCCGAAGAAAAACGGCGTAACGGACAGCACGCGGTCGCCCCACACGCTGTAGTGCAGCGATACGTGGTGACCTTCCACCCGCCAGCCCCACGGTTCGGCGTCGCTCGCGGGATCGCCGAAGATCGTCCAGGCGTACCACAGCGGGTCCCGGCGGAACGTCACGCTGCCCTGTTCCTCCTCCAGCGGACCCAACACCGTCTCGTGCTCGATGATCAGCTGGGCCTTCCGGTTGGAGTCTTCGGTCAGACCGGTGGCCATCAGCGCGTAGGCCAATCCCCTCTGCTCCTCGCTCATATCTCGCAGCATCAGTCCATGCCGGTTCAGCGGCGGGTAGTACCAGAAGATCCTCTCGCCGTCGTGGTAGCTATAGCTGATGGCCGCTTTCTGCGTGGCGTCCAGGCTGTTCAGCAACGCCAGCGCCGCTCCGCGCATCTCGGATGCCGCCTGCGGATGCGTGTGGGGATGATCATGGTCGTGGGTATGAGTGGTGGTCATATGGGGTGTGTCCTCCATGCGACAACGCAGCCGGCTTTATCCCGACCGAATGGCCACAGTGTATGCGCCCCCATTTTGGGGTGTCAAACCGGCCGTAGCGTACCGACGCAGCCCGCACCGACGCTGGGATCCGCCCGTATGCCTTGAACCCGCTGGTCTCGGGTCAACCCCCCGCAGGTCGCATGAGACATCCCACAGCCATTAGCGGCGCCGCATGCTGAGGGTGCCCTCAGCGCTGTTACGGTGAAAGTAGTGTCGGCGGTGTGTGCGACGCGCATGGTCGCCAGCATCCTGGCCCTGCGGGTGTGGCGGGTAAGACTGCGATGACAGCCTCAGGTTGACGCCGCGCGAAATCCCTGACTATATTGCGCGCACTTACTGTATAGCGAGGTTATGGATGTCGGGATCAAATATTGATTGGGGCCACGACCGGGAGAAGCCCGAGGGCGTGAAAATCAATCTGACCCATATAGGCCCAGGGATGCACCCGGAGGAAAAGTTCGTGCAATTCCAGATCGGTGGTGCTTCTTACTCCGGATGGATGCCTAGTTATTCGGTCAATGAATTTAACAATTGGCTAAAGGCTTTTATCATCGCCGATTTCGATGATGGAAGATGGTTGCTTCGTATTCCAGATGAAACGCTAACGTCAGGCCCGCAAATCTTCGCCAAAAAAGAGGATCAGGGGACCGTTGTTACGACAGGGTGGTGGTGATGATATATAGCGACAAGGATATTATGGATGCGCTGGACGTTGGAACCTTTACCATTGATCCGCGTCCGGCTCGCGACGATATTTCCCCCTCAGCGGTAGACTTACGACTGCACAATATTTTTACTGTGTTCGATAGTGAAGATAAACTCGAAGGCGTGGACGTCGCGGTCATGGTGGGAGTAGCAGATACTGAACGGGTAGTACAAAGGTACGGCGATACTGTAGATATACCGGTGGGGGATTATCTTGAGTTAAAACCGGGCGCTTTCGCTTTGGGATATACGCGAGAACACGTCGATCTGCCCATGAATCTCGCTGCCAGGGTCGAGGGCAAGAGCTCTTTGGCCGGTTGGGTATTTCCATTCATCAGACTGCACCAACCATACATGCGGATTTCCACGGCAACATCCGGTTGGAGATTGCCAACACTGGCCCGTTTACGTGTCGGTTGACCCCAGGTATACGTGTCTGCCAGCTGATCATCGAGGAGCTTAAAACCCCAGCGGAACGACAGTTGTAATCTCAGTTCCAAAACCAATCTCCAGACTGACGCCATAACCACCGTATCCGCACCCCCTTCCACCGCCGGCCGCTACCGTCCCGCGCTATGGCCTGGCCGACAAGCTATCCGACGCTGTCTGGCACTCCGCCTCAATCTCCCTTCCCGATACGCTCTACGGTGTCATCGTCCGCAGCCGCTACAGTCGCCCTGGCTCATGCCGCCGCCGGGCCGGTCGACCCAGCAGCACGTGCGAAACCTGGACGGCAACCTGGGTCAGCGGCCCTACTGCTGGTACTACCCTCACCCTCCTCGCATCCACATGGCTGGCCGCCGTTGCGCGCTGCTGCGCCGCGTCGCCGCCCGCGCCGGCCGCGTTACCTTGACATCCCTCTACCCCTGTAACAGAATAACGCCATCCTCACCCCGCACAGGAACGAGAGTATGACAACAGTTCAGAGTGGTTCCCGCACTACCGTAAATGTCAACGGTACTGCCGTCGAAATGTATTCCGGCGGCAGCGGCCCGCCGTTGGTGTTTTTCCACGGCGCCGGCGGTTCCAACGGTTGGCAACCCTACCATGAGGACCTGTCCGCCGAGTACACGGTCTACGTTCCCAGCCAGCCCGGTTTCAACGGCACCGAGGCTCCCAATTGGATCAAGACCATCAGCGACGTCGCCCACTTCAACCACATGTTCGTCGACGCCCTGGGCCTCCAGGACATCGTCCTGATGGGCTCCTCCATGGGCGGCTGGGTTTCCGCCGAGATGGCGGCCATGAACGACGCCAATATCGATGCCCTGATCCTGGTGGACCCCGCCGGCATCAAGCCCCGCGACGGGGAGATCTCGGAAATCTTCATGGTCTCCGCCGACACCCGGCTGAAGCAGCGCTTCCACGACCCCAGCCAGGTTGAGAACTACGAGCACTATGCCCGCGAACTGTCTCCCGAAGAGCAGTTGGTGGTCCATTCCAACGCCATCACCGCTTCCCAGTTGTGCTGGAAGCCCTACCTGCACAATCCCAGCCTTCCCCATACCCTCGCCCGGGTCGACACGTCCCACTCTCATCGTCTGGGGCAACCAGGATGCCATCATCCCCGTCGAGTGCGGGCCATCTGTTCCAGCAGGCCATCCAGGGCAGTCAGTTGCGCATCATCGACAACTGCGGGCACTCGCCGGCTGTGGAGAAGCGCAGCGAATTCGTCGCCGCCATCACCGGATTCCTGAGCAGCCTGTAAGACAAACTCCCGAACAGCGCACCACCGAGAAGGAGCAACTAACATGGCGCACGAACTCGAAGTATTCTGGTTCTCTGAACAGCCCTACGGCCACGTCACCGAGGAAGACCTGGAGCCTTGGGAATCGGGCCGAATGCACTTTCCCAACACCTACTTCGATCCCGAAAAGGCTCACGTCCTCTACTCCAACTACCACGACCAGTACCAGCTGGCCGATGAGGTCAATTTCGACGGCATCATGTCCAACGAGCATCACAGCTCGTACTGGTGCATGAAGCCCTCCGTCAACGTGGACGCCGCCGTCATCACCCAGCGCACCAAGAAGGCCAAGATCGCCATGCTGGGCAACGTCATCGCGGTCAACGACCCGGTGAAGATGGCCGAAGAGATCGCCATGCTGGACTGCATCAGCGGCGGCCGCGTCATCTCCGGTTTCGTGCGCGGCACCGCTGTTGAGACCCTCCACGCCGGCTACTCGCCCACCGAGAACCGCCCCCGGTTCGAGGAAGCCCACGATCTCATCATCAAGTGCTGGACCGACCCCGGCCCCTTCCGCTGGGAAGGCGAGTACTGGCCCCACCGCATGGTCAACCCGTGGGTGGTGCCGATTCAGAAGCCCCATCCCCCGGTCTGGTTCCCCGGCACCGGCAGCCCCGAGTCCGTAATCTGGGCCGCCAAGCACCGCTACCCGTACATGAACCTGGGCTCCCTGCTCGACCTGACCAAGCAGCTCAAGGGCATCTACCACGAGACCGCCGCCGAGGAAGGCTACGAGGCTGGCCCCGAGCACTTCGGCTACCTGATCCGCTGCCTCGTCGCCGACACCGACGAAAAGGCCCAGGAGATCGGCCGCACCTTCCTGTGGACCGAGAACCACCGCAACCGCGGGCCCATGGAATTCAACGACCCGCCGGGTTACCAGTCGCGCGAGGCCCTGCGCATCAAAGATGTCCCGCCCTCTCATCGGCACGGGCACCATGGGACGTCGGATGTCCTACGAAGACCTCCAGGACGCGTACAACATCATCGTTGGCAGCCCTGAGACCGTGACCGAGAAGCTGCGCCACATCCGCAGGGACCTCGATCCCGGCTACATCCTCATCTACGGCAACGAGGGCCACATGCCCCACGAGGACGTGATGCGCTCCGTCGAGCTCCTCGGCACCAAGGTGATACCGGCGCTCAAGGAAGGTTAGATTACGAAGCCGACTTCCATGGAAGTTTTTGGAGCGGGTTCCAAACCCGCTCCTATTGTTTGCCGATCGTGCGTGATACACTCAAATCGCCTACGACGAAGGTGACGGTACGGTAGGAATCAAGCATGGCAACATCAGTCCAACTCTCACCTGAAGCCGAGGAGCGCCTCGATTTCTTGGCTTCGCGCACTGGCCGCTCGAAATCGTTCCTTCTCCGCGAGATTATCGAATGCGGGCTTGACGACATTGAGGACTATTACCTTGCGGCCGAAGTCCTGGAGCGCATCCGCCACGGGCAGGAGAAGTTTCATACCGCCTCCGAAATGAGGTGGGACCTTGCCTTGGACGATTGAGTATTCCGATACGGCTCGGGACCAGTTACGCCGGCTCGACAGGCAAATGGCCCGTCGTGTTGTGGACTACATGGATGAACGGGTTGCCCCACGTGAGGACCCGCAGAGCCTTGACTGGACCGATGGGAGAGTTTTGGCGCTACCGTGTAGGGGACTACCGTGTTGTTTGCGACATTCAGGACCAGGTTTTGCGCGTGCTCGTGGTTCGTGTCGGGAGACGCGATAGCGTGTACCGTTCGCCGTAGAGGCAATCAAAACGACGTAGGGGCGAATAATCATCCGTCCCTACCCGCTTGCCGTATGCGCGGCCCGCTACTTCTTCCCGTTCCGCGGCTGTGACCCGTCCGGATACAGGTCGTCCCACATCGCGTCCCGCCAGTCCACGCCCACCGGCAGGATCGCCTGCGATGGACGCAGCATGTAGTAGTTGTCGCCCACGCCGGGCGGAGTTCCGCCCTCTGCCACCGTTCGCGCTGCCTGCAGCAACTGCCGGCGGGCGTAGATGATGGCCATGTCGGTGCGCGTGAGGTTCTCCCGCGACCTGTCCACGATGTGGCCCATGCTCTCCTGACACCGCCACGTCCTGCGCGTTCACGCCCTCGATGCCGCTGAAGGTCTCCGTCTTCTGCACCGAACGGTTGATCATCCAGTTGTTGTCCCGGTTGACCCTGGTGCGGAAGCTTTCGAGCATGTGCTCCGGCCCACGCCCGTAGCCGCGGTCCATATCCACCCGTTCCTGCTCCTCGATGGGGTCGTCATAGGATAGGTCCCAGTTCCAGACCATCACGTTGTTGTCGTCCATGGGGACCCACATGTGTCCGGACGCCAGGAAACCCACCGGCCCCGCCTGGCCCCGATAGCCCCGCTGGCTGGCCCTGAGCTGGTGGAAGGGCATCACGAAGTGGTACGCGCGCACGTGGTTGCCCTCGTCGCCCAGCGAACGGATTCCGACGTAGCGATAGCCGTAGTCCGTGATATCCACCTCCAGTTCCGGCGGCTTGCCCTGCACATGGGGCGAGTCGACCCGCAGGCCGGCATGTGGGGTGTCCGTCCGTAGCGTGCGGTGCAGGATGGTGGCGTGCGCCGAGTCGATGCCGCCCTCCAGCGCCTGCAGCCAGTTGCACTCCTGGATGTTCTTGGTGACGTGGCGGTGAGATGCCGGCACCGCGGCCCACTCGAACTTGGGCGGCGGCGGCAGGTGCTCTTTCGGTCCCATGTATGCCCAGATGACGCCGCCCAACTCGACGGTCGGGTAGGACGTCGTCGTCATCTTGGACGGATAGTCGCTGTCCGCCGGTTCGTTCATCATGTCCACGCACTGCCCGTTCACGTCGAACTTCCAGCCGTGGTAGATGCACCGCAGGCCACACTCTTCGTTACGGCCCAGCCACAGCGACACCAGGCGGTGCGGGCAAAACTCTTCAAGCAGGCCGATGCGCCCGTCGCTGTCGCGGAAGGCTACCAGTTCTTCGCCCAGCAGCTTGACCCGCACCGGCTCTCCGTCCGGCTCCGCCAGCTCCCAGGACAGTAGGGCCGGCATCCAGTAGCGGCGCATCAACTCGCCCATTGGGCTGCCTTGCCCGACTTGTGTGAGTGCCACATTCTCTGCTTGCGAAATCATAGGCCATACCTCCTCATCCTGGTGCCAGAGTAGCAGCAAATTAGTGGATTTGCTATGCTGTTACCGCTCAACGCGCCCACCCAACCTGACGCCTGCCCGATTGCGTTTGAACTGCCATTGCGAGCGAAGCGTAGCAACCTCGTTAGCGGTGGAGTTGTCGCCCAGGTGACGCCACCGCCACGTTGCTTCACTCGCTAATTAACCAGCTGGGTACGCGTCAGGCGCATCGATCGGTTGCTTTCCGGACTCTCGAACAACAGGACTTTCAGCGATGCCAATCGTAGATACCCATGTGCACATCGGCCGCGACCACTACGAGCCGGTGGAGATGCTGCTCTCCCAGATGGAGCTGAACGGCGTCGCCAAAACCGTGCTGGTGCAGTCCACCGCCACGCTGGACAACTCCTACGTGCTGGAGTGCCGCCAGCGCTTCCCCGGACGCCTGGCCGTCGTCTGCCGCGTCGACGTGGATGATCCGGCGGCGCCCGACACCCTGGAAAGCCTGCGCGACGCCGGCGCCGAGACCCTGCGCATCCGCAACTTCCATCGGTCCCCGGGCAACGACCCGCTGGCCATCTGGCGGGCGGCAGCACGCCTCGGCGTGTCAGTCAGCGTCGGCGGGCCGGCCGAGGGTTTCGCGTCCGCCGAATTCGCCGCTCTGGTTGAGGAACTGCCCAATCTCACCGTCATCATCGAGCACCTGGCCGGCATGGGCATCCACGCCATCGGCGCCGCCGAGATGCCGCCCTGACGACGTGTTTCGCCAGTCCCTTACTCTGGCCCGCTTCCCCAACACGGTGATGAAGATCCATGGCATGGGCGAGATCAGCGATCCGCCCTTCCCCTTCAGGAACATACCGCCCTACGTGCGCATGGCTTACGACGCCTTCGGTCCGGACCGGATGATCTGGGGCTCCGACTGGCCTCGCGTGACCAACCGAGAAGGTTACCGCAACTCCCTACGGTACACGTGGGCGAAAATGGAGGACTGGTGTTCCAAGTCTGACCTGGAAAAGATATTCGGCGGTACGGCCATCTCATTGTGGAAGTTCGCATAGCCTTGCCCGGTATTGGCCGATTCCGTGTGTCACCCTGATTGTCAAAACCGAAAGTGTTGACTTATCATTGTTGCGCCTTGTGCGCCGACGTTGGGCGAAATAAACATCCTAAGGAGGAATATTTGATGACAAAGAGTTTGAAGTACCTTGCCGGGATGCTGCTGCTGGCAGCCACGGTGGCGTTGCTGGCTTGCGGCGGTAGAAGAGCCCTCCGCGCCGGCTCCCGCCGCTGACCCCACCGCTCCTGCTACCGTCATGGCTGAGCCGCCCACGGAAGCCGTAACGGCTACCGACACCCCTGAGGCCGTCCCGGTGCAGTCCGGCAACCGCCTCGCCAACGTGAAGAGCCGCGGCACCGTGGTATGCGCCAATAACACCCAATTGGCAGGCTTCGGGTTCATTGATGCCGGCGGCAACACCATGGGCTTTGACGTTGACCTCTGCCGCGCCGTGGCCGCCGCCGTGCTGGGCGACGCCGACGCCGTGGATTTCCAGCCCACCACTGCCGCCGAGCGCGGCCCCACCATGCAGTCCGGCCAGGTGGACATGATGTCCCGCAACACCACTTGGACATCTTCCCGCGACGCTACCTGGGGTAACTTCTCCCAGACCATGTTCTATGACGGTCAGGGCTTTATGGTACCCGCCAGCCTGGGCGTCTCCAGCGCTATGGAATTGCGGGACGCCAAAGTCTGCGTCCAGCAGGGCACCACCACTGAGTTGAACCTCCAGGACTTCAGCAACCAGAACGATATGAACTTCGACATCGTTACCTTCCCCGACGCCACCACCACCAGCGAAGCCTACCAGGCTGGACAGTGCGACGCCCTGACCACCGACCGGTCCGGTCTGGTCGCCACCCGCGTGGGCTATGATGACCCCGACGCCCATGTCATCCTGCCCGATACCATCTCTGAAGAACCCCTGGGCCCGGTGGTTCCTCACGGCGACGACCAGTGGTATGACATCGTCAAGACCACCATGGCGATCCTCATCTACGCCGAAGCCTTCGGCATAACCTCCGACAGCGTGCCCACTGCCCGCACCGGCAACACCGCCGTGGACCGGCTGTTCGGCCTGGAGGGTGGCTACGGCCAGGAAGACCTCGGCTTGAGCCCAACCGCTGCCCAGGATGTCATCAGGCAGCTGGGTAACTATGGCGAGATTTACGACCGCCATCTGACGCCTCTGGGCGTAACCCGCGCGGGCAGCCGCAACGACCTCTGGATCAACGGCGGAGAAATTTACGCCGCGCCGCTGCGGTAGCTCCAAAAACGTCCGCCGGCCTCAAAATGCCGGACCGGCGCCGGGGAGGGTACGGCCAGCATCCGCCTGGTTATCCCTCCCCAAAAGTTTGATTGTTTTCGCCGACCCGGAAAAAATGCGCCGATTGCGCTACAATCGGCTTGGATTTTCCGGCAATGCTACCCCTTGAAAGTTTACCGTTATGACGACCCGTCAACTGCCACGCGTCTTGGTTTACCAGGACATCCCCGTATGGCGGCACGCCGTCATCATCCAGTGGACAGCGCAGATTGCGTCCGCCATCATCGTCGTCGCTCTGGTCGTCTGGTTCTTTGCCAACATTGCTGACGCCATCGCCGACCGGAACATCTCTTACAGCTTCACGTTCCTTTCCCGTGAGTACCAGACGCCTATCGGCGACTTTTTCATACCTTACGAATCGTCAGATACATTCCTGTACGCCTTTTGGGTAGCAATCACCAACACCCTGATCGTCGCCGTTTCCGGCGTCATCCTAGCCATCCTGTTGGGCATCTTCGTAGGCATCGCCCGCCTGTCCTCCAACTGGATCGTCGCCAAAATCGCGATGGTCTATATCGAATTCTTCCGCAACGTGCCCTTGCTGGTGCAACTTTATTTTTGGCTGTACATTGTTCAGGAACTGCCGTCGGTGGTGGACGCTGACGGACGCGAACTGGGCGCATTGATCCCCGGCGTTCTGTACGTCTATAACGATGGCATATCTCTGCCGTGGCCGTCGGCAAACGACTGGACCGTCGCGCTGCTCTGGCTGGCGACGGCGGCAGCGGCCATCGCGGCCGGCGTCGCCGTCCATCGCCGATTGACCCGACGCGAAAGCGAAACCGGTCGGGCATCCCATCCCATGCTGGGCGGCCTCCTTTTCGCTTTCGTTATCGGCGCCGCGGCCTGGCTGGCGCTGAGTTTAGTGGCCGGCGACTCCCCGTTCTCAATCTCCACGCCGGAACCCCAGGGCCGTTTCGGGCGCATCGGTGGCGGTTTAACCGCCAAGGCCGGCCTGATGGTCCTGGTGGTGGGTCTGGTCATCTACACGTCATCGTTTATCGCCGAAATCGTCCGCGCCGGCATCCAGTCCGTGGGACGCGGCCAGATCGAAGCCGCCCGCGCCCTGGGTTTGTCTCAAATGGATGCTTTGTGGCGGGTGACTTTCCCCCAGGCGCTCCGGGTCGTCATCCCGCCGCTGATCAGCCAGTGCCTGAACCTTACCAAAAACAGCAGCCTCGGCGGCGCTATCGGATACGCCGAACTCACCAGCGTGGGCGTCACCATGACCCAGACGGCGCCGGCGCTCCCCATCTTCGTTCTGGTCATGGCGTCATATCTCGCGATGAGCCTCACCTGGTCGCTCATCGGTAACTTCTACAACCGCCGCATGCGGTTCGTCGGCTCCTAGACACCCTTCAGGTATTGACATGGCCGTTGACGACACAACACGCTCCGCAGCTGCGCTGCCGCCGCCCCGTATGGAAACGGGCGTTGCCGGATGGGCCCGCACCAATCTGTTCAGCAGCCTGTTCAACGGCCTGCTCACCGTCATTGCCGGCATCGTCACGCTTCTGGCGCTGTGGTACGGGTTGAAGTGGGTGTTCCTGGATGCCGAGTGGCGGGTTATTGTGGAACTGGGCGGCCGCTTCATCCTTGGACAATACAATACCCAGTCCGCCTGCCCCGGGCAAAACTGTTTCTGGCGTCCCCAGGTTGCCACATTGTTGGCAACGCTGCTGCTGGGAATGGGCTGGGGACTAACAGGTCGGGGAGTTACCAGAGTTATCGCCATCACCGTCGCCGTTGTGCTGGGATTGTTGGCCTTCCTACCCTACAGCCTGGAGGCCATGGGGTACGATGTACGCCTGCTGCTGCTGGCCAATCTGCCGGCGTTGTTGGCGGGTTGGGTTCTGGCGCGCCACACTCTTCTGGGCACCGGCCGCCGGGTTGCCGTTCTCGCCGTGGCGTCATTCCTGTTGTCCCTGGTTCTGATCCGGGGGTTGCCGGGAATTCCCGGGCTGCAACCGGTGTCGGTCAACCAGTGGGGTGGGTTGATGCTGAACCTGATACTGGCCATCGGCGGCATTACCCTCAGCCTGCCCATCGGGATCGCCCTGGCCCTGGGCCGGCGCAGCCGGCTGCCCATCGTCAAGATCCTGTGCATCACGTTCATCGAAGTTTTCCGCGGCGTGCCCCTGATCACACTGCTGTTCATGTCCCGGCACCTGGTGCCCCTGGCTTTTCCCGAGGATTTTCCTCAGAACGCGCTGCTCAACGCCGCCATCGTCATCACGCTGTTCAGTTCCGCGTATATGGCGGAGAACATCCGCGGCGGGCTGCAGGCGCTGCATCCCGGCCAGGCCGAAGCCGCCCGCGCCCTGGGCCTCCCCGGCTGGCATACTACCCTGCTCATCTCACTGCCCCAAGCCATCCGCAACGTCATCCCCGCCATCGTTGGCCAGTTCATCGGCCTCTTCAAGGACACCAGCCTAGTCTATATTATCGGTATGCTGGACATACTGCGCATCGGCCTTGACTTCGTGAACGGCAACATCGAATTTCGCGATAACAAAGGCGAGGTCATTATCTTCGTCGCCTTGGTGTTCTGGATCTTCACCTACGGCATGTCCTACGTCAGCGGGCATATTGAGCGGCATCTCGGAATAGGAGAGCGTTAGCGAGCCCGTTGTCGCGCCGGCCGTTCTGCTAGAATGACGGCCGCAGCGCCGAACCCGTCGCCGTCTCCGCAGCCACGGCCAATAGCACTCACCGCAACGGAGCGCACCATGACTACCAACGGAACTACGGATGCCGTCGAAGACATCATCGTGTGCCGGGACGTGCACAAGTGGTACGGCAACTTCCACGCTCTGCGGGGTGTCACGACCACCGTCAGAAAAGGCGAGGTGGTGGTGATTATCGGTCCCTCCGGGTCCGGCAAGTCCACGTTCATTCGTACCATCAACCGTCTGGAGCAACACCAGCGCGGTGATATCGTCGTGGACGGCATCGAGTTGACCAACGACACCCGCAACATCGACGCCATTCGCCGCGATGTGGGCATGGTCTTTCAGTCATTCAACCTGTTCCCCCACCTGACGGTCCTGAGCAACATCACCCTCGCGCCGACCAAGGTCCGCAAGTTGCCGTCCCACGAGGCCGACGACATCGCCATGGAACTCTTGGAGCGGGTGGGAATACCGGAACAGGCCGACAAATACCCGGCGCAGCTGTCCGGCGGCCAGCAGCAGCGCGTCGCCATCGCCCGCGCCCTGGCCATGCAGCCCAACATCATGCTCTTTGACGAGCCCACGTCGGCCCTCGACCCCGAGATGATCAAGGAAGTCCTCGAAGTCATGCGCGAACTGGCCGAGTCGCAAATGACCATCCTGGCCGTCTCCCACGAGTTGGGTTTTGCCCGCGAGGTGGCCGATCGCATCGTGATGTTCGACGAAGGCCTGATCGTCGAGGACCAACCGCCGGACGAGTTCTTCAACAACCCGCGCCACGAGCGCGTGAAGCACTTCCTGTCGCAGATCCTGTAATTCGGGTCGGCCCGATGGAATTGGCGCGGAAATTCGGGCGTTGGATCTGGGCCGGCGGTATCGCCGAAACCCAATGGGCGCGCCAACGTCGCTTGCCCTTCTGGGAGCACCCGTGGTTCACGCGCATTTACCGGATCGCGTTGGTCGCCGGTTGGGTGGCTATAATCGCATTCTTCCTGATCTGGAACCTGGTTTGGGCCACGCCCGGATGATCGGACGCTGAGGCCGGCAGTATCCCGCGCCTTGGGCGACCGGCAGTCCCTGCCGCATTCGTGATTGCCCCACGGTGGCACGCACGGTAAAATTCCGGCACCTTCACTATTCCCCGCGGCACGAGGAGTGTAGCTATGCCGGATCGATCCATGCAGATAGGGGTGGTCTTCCCTCAAACCGAAATTGGTTCCGACCCCGTTGCCGTGCGCGATTACGTGCAGGCGGCTGAGGAATTGGGCTACGCCCATATAATCGCCTATGACCACGTGCTGGGCGCGGACACCGCGTACCACCAGCCGTGGACCGGCAGTTACACCAAGGAGAGCCTGTTCCACGAGATCTTCGTCCTCTTCGGCTACATGGCTGCCCTGACCACCAGCGTCGAGCTTGTCTCGGCCATCGTCATCCTCGGCCAGCGGCAGACCGCCCTGGCCGCCAAGCAGGCCGCCGAAGTGGACGTGCTCAGCGGGGGCCGCTTGCGCCTCGGGGTTGGCATCGGCTGGAACCCCGTGGAGTACGAAGCGCTTGGGGAGGACTTCTCCACCCGCGGCCGCCGCGCCGAGGAGCAGATGGAACTGTTGCGCCGACTCTGGACGGAAGAGGTCGTCGATTTCCACGGCCGTTACCACAACGTGACCAACGCCGGCATCAACCCCCTGCCCGTGCAGCGGCCCATCCCGCTGTGGATGGGAGCGGGCAGTCGCGCCCGCGGGCCGATACCCACCGACCGCGTGCTCAGCCGCGTGGGACGTTGCGCCGATGGTTGGTTCCCCCAGTTCCAGTCTGATGACCCCCAGGCGGCCACGGCCATCGCCAAGGTGCGTGAGGCTGCGGTTGCCGCCGGCCGGGATCCTGATGCCATCGGCATGGAACCGCGCGTAAACTACTCCGACGGCGACCCCGAGTTCTGGCAGGCCAGGGCGGAGGAATGGCGCGGCATGGGCGCGAGTCACTTCTCCGTCAATACCATGTCCGCCAACCTCGTCGGGCCCGGTGCACACATCAACGCCATGCGCGAGTTCAAGGAAGTAATCAGCGGGTAGCCTCCCGTTCACACTGCATCGGGTCGCAACCAACCTAACCGGTATTCACCCAACTTAACCGGTATTCACAAGGAGGCAACAATATGGGCAGGCTCGACGGCAAGGTGGCTCTCATCAGCGGCGGAGCGCGCGGTCAGGGTGCGGTGGAGGCCAGGATGTTCACCTCCGAAGGCGCGTGCGTAGTATTCGGCGATATCCTCGACGACGAGGGCCGCCGGGTGGAGGCCGAAATCCGGGAACTCGGCGGTCAGGCCACCTACGTCCACCTGGACGTGACCAGCGAATCCGACTGGCAGGCCGCGGTTGCTGCCGCCGTCGCCGAGTACGGCAAGCTCAACGTGCTGGTCAACAACGCCGGCATAGTGCTTGGCCGCAGCATCGAAGAGATGACCGTCGAGGAATGGGACCGCCTCTTCGACGTCAATGCCAAGGGCGTGTTCCTGGGTACCAAGGCTTCCTTGCCAGCCCTGCGGGAGGCCGGCGGCGGTAGCATCGTGAACATATCTTCCACCGCCGGCCTGGTAGGCAACGACTACAACCTTGCCGGCTACAGCAGCACCAAGGGAGCCGTGCGGCTTTTCACCAAGTCCACCGCCATTCAGCATGCTGCCGAGGGTATTCGCTGCAACTCCGTCCATCCCGGCCCGATCGACACTCCCATGCTGCAGGAATCTCGCGCCAATCGGGGCAGCGGGCTCAGCGACGAGGAACAGCGCCAGCGGGTGCCCCTCGGCCGCATCGGTCGCCCCGAGGATATTGCCTACGCCGTGGTCTACCTGGCGTCCGACGAGGCGTCGTTTGTCACCGGAAGCGAAGTCGTCGTGGACGGCGGGCGCACTGCCATGTAACGCAGAGGAGCGCCCTCACGGGCGCTCCGACTGTCGCGGTGTGAAATGGTCGGGGCGGCCAGATTCGAACTGGCGACCCCCTGCACCCCATGCAGGTGCGCTACCGGGCTGCGCTACGCCCCGCCCCGACAGTTTCAGGGTATCACCCGCACCGACAATTGGCAAACTCGCTGGCATCGCCAGTGATTATTCAGAGTATTACCTGCTAGGATTGCGCCATATCGTAATGACAACCATGAACGGCGATTGCTACAGTATCCTCGGCGTCCCGGCGGCAGCCACGACGGAAGAAATCCGTGCCGCCTATCGCAGGCTGGCGCGACAGTATCACCCCGACCTCAACACTGGGCCGCAAGCCGAGGCGCGCATGAAAGAAATCAATCATGCATACGCCACCCTGTCCGATCCCCAGCGCCGCCGCCACTACGATATCTACGGCGTGAGCGACCCTCCCACCGTGGAGTCGAACCGCCGCAGCCAGCAGCGTGCCCCCCGCCCGAGCGCGACCCGCCCTTCCGAACCTCGTACCCATTCCGCGTCACCTGAGCGCGGCGAGGATATTGAGGCGGCCTTGCTGATCACGCGCGGGGAGGCAAGACATGGACTGCGCAAGGTTTTCCCGGTCACGCGCACTGAACCCTGTCAGCGCTGCCGGGGGAGCGGATATGAGCCCGAGGAGACCCTGGGGGCCGGTCGGTGCTGGCGGTGCAGCGGAGAGCAGCGGTTGCGGCGGGAGTTGTGGCTGAGCGCCACCATACCGGCCGGAGTGTCCGACGGCCGACGCCTCCGTCTCCGCGGTCAGGGCAACGCCGGTTTGGACGGTGGAGCCAGCGGGCACATCTACATCACCGTCCGGGTTGCCCAACACACCAAATTGCGCCAGACTTTTTCCTTCGTGCTCCGGCACCTGTTCCGCTAGCATTCCACGTCGGCGCGGCCGTCAAGCGCGGGATGGATCAGCTCCATTCGCGTGATCGGGAGTAGGCTCGTCGAATTGCATCCCTTCCGCAACAGCTTCCTGCCGGCGCCGGTTCCATTCGCGCCAGGCCGCGTTCGTTTCTTCAGGGCCAGTGGCACGTCCCTCCTCGCGTCCTTCCTGTTGTCCCTCTTGGCGCCCTTCTTCTCGTCCTTCCTCGCGCCCTTCTTGGTGTGCCCTGTGGCGAAACATTGCGGCGAATACCATGGCGGCTCCTTCTACGAGGATCGGGCTGAACCGGATCCAAAACCCGGCGGCGGACACGGCAGCGCTCAGGATAGCTGCGGGCGCTTGCCGCCACGATGGACTGTCGCCGTCTATCGCATGGACGTAGACATAAAATGCGGTGGTGGCATGAAACAAATGCTGAACGTTCAGGAGTGTGGCCTGATGCGTCGCACCGGTAGGGTGAACATCGACGCTCGTTCCGCATCGTCATCATGGCGGATTGTGCTGTTCATATCCTGATCCTGTGGGCTAGGTCTATCAAGCTCGGGTTTGACCGAAGGCGCTCAGAGTAACTCCCGGGCGCGGTACTGCAGTGCCTCCGCAAGATGCGCCGGCCCTATTCGTTGGGCTCCGGCAAGGTCGGCAACCGTGCGGGCCACCTTGACCACCCGATGCAGCGCCCGGGCCGAGAGGTCCAGCTGTTGCGATGCCCGCTGCAACAATGCCTGCGTGTCATCCTGCAGGTCGCAATGATCCCAGATGTTCGATCCCGACATTTCCGCGTTCGACAACCCCCGAGCTTCCGGTCCCCCGGCGAAACGTGCCTCCTGGATGGCGCGCGCCGCCACCACGCGGTCGCGCACTGCGGTTGAACTCTCGGACTCCGACCGACCCAATAGGCTGTCGTATTCCACCGGCGGGACTTCTACGAAAATGTCGATGCGCTCCAGCAGTGGCCCGCTGATGCGCCTTTGATACCTGGCCAGCGCGGAAGGGCTGCATACGCAATCTTTCCGCGGATGCGACGCATAACCGCACGGACACGGGTTCATCGCGCCCACCAGCATGAAACTCGCCGGATAGGTCACCGTGCCACTCACTCGCGTGATGGTTACCGTTTTGTCCTCCAACGGTTGTCGCAACGATTCGAGCGCGGCGTGCCCGAATTCCGGAAGCTCATCCAGGAACAGCACTCCCCGATGGCTCAGTGTGATTTCTCCCGGCCGCAGCATGCGGCCGCCGCCCACGAGGCCGGCGTTCGATATCGTGTAGTGGGGCGCGCGGAACGGCCGCTGGGCAATCAGCGGGCTGTCCGGCGGCAGATTGCCGCTCACGCTGTAAATCTTGGTGACATCCAGCGCCTCGCCGGGCGTCAGGTAGGGCAGGATGCCCGGCAGCGCCCGAGCCAGCAGGGTCTTGCCGGAACCCGGCGGCCCGCTCAGCAGAATATTGTGGAAACCCGCCGCCGCTACTTCCAGGGCTCGCTTGGCGTGGTCCTGCCCCCGGATGTGGCGCAGATCGGTGTTGCCAGGCTGTTCACGGTTCCCATTGAGATGAACGCCGTTCTGCGGAATTGGATCTATCGCTGTATCGCCTTGCAGATGGCTCAGCAGTTGCGCCAGCGTGTCGACGGGATACACGCCTACTCCGTCCACCAGGGCCGCTTCGGCCGCGTCAATCGCCGGTACGTACACGGAGCTTATGCCCTGATCCCGCGCCACCGACACCATGGGCAGGATGCCCGCCGTGTGCCGCAGGCCGCCATCCAGCGACAACTCACCCAGGAATATCGCCGACTCCTTGGTCGGCGGCGCCTGTCCGGTGCTGAATAGTATCCCCACGGCGATGGGCAGATCGTAGGCCGGCCCGGCTTCTTCAGGTCGGCCGGCGCCAGGTTTACGGTGATGCGCCGCATCGGAAACTCGCAGCCGCTGTTGCGCAGCGCCGCTCGCACGCGCTCCTTGGCTTCCTGCACCGCGGTGTCCGGAAGGCCAACGATGTGGAACGCCGGCAGTCCCGGTGAAATGTCCGTCTCCGCCTGGATTATCTGGCCGTCCAACCCAATGACGGCGCACGTTTGAGCAGTTGCCAACATACCGAGTCCTCCGTGGTTGATATGATCGCCGCTTCGTTGGCGATTCACCAACACACTATCACCGCAGAACATGCGTGCGCCACGGTTGGCTGTCATCAAAATTTCCGGGCCTTCCTGATTTCCGGGCCCTCTTGATTTCCGGGTCTTCCTGCCTTTGCTATCGTCGCATCCCTAATCTATACTTGCGCCAATGGACCTGCATTTTGAAATCGGCGATCCGCGGCGACCGCGAGGCCACGCAATTCTGTATTTTCGCGTGGACACCGAACCGGACCACGTGTACGGCACCTACATCATCACGCTGCCCATCACCGCCGATTTGACCAAATACGTCCCGCCGTTTCTGGCCGCGCATCTGGGCAGCGCCGGTTCCGGCCCGCTGGCCAATTTCTCGGCTTTCGCCATGCCGCCGATGTCGGAATTGGTGGAGGGCGGCTACGAACAGCTGGTGCGCCTGGCCAACGTCCGAAACGACGACCTGCTCTACGGCGGCAGCATGTTTTCCTACGACCTGGCTCGCATGATGGAATCTGTGGCCGAGGCCGTTCAGGAATACGCCGACGCATGGTCCCGGACCAGCGTCGAGGAGGGCGTCTCCATTGCTCCCGCCGGGGACGCTGCCATACCCCTGGGTGGCTCCTCTCCCCTCACCGGGGGTGCGGATGGCGGGGATGGCGACCACCTGGGTGTCAACGAGGTGCTCTGGAGCTTTATGAGCGAGGGCGACCGGCTGGCCGAAATGGGCCGCCTCCTGGGTCGTCTGCGCTTTGCCCACGAAGGCAACGATGTCACCGCCATTACCGACATCATCGCGGAGATGACCGCCCTGGGCCGGCACCTGCCTGATGAGTTTGGTGTCGGTTCGCTGGTCGACGCCGCCAACGATTCCACCCCGAACGGAGTGCAGTTGGCCCAGCTATATCTGGACCGCTGCTACCGGCTTTCGTCCGGGGATACCGAGCAGGTACGCCGCATTGACGAGGCGATAAAGAACCTGCAACGGCGAGGGTAACCGGACCCTCGCCGCTCTCTTTTCTGCTCCCCGCGGCTTTAGGTTGTTACAGCCCCGCCGCCTCCGCGTCACGCCCGTGGGTGACTTCGCTCGTATTCGGCGCGGACGTGTGAATCGGTCAGGTGCGTGTAAACCTGCGTCGTGGAAATGCTGGAGTGCCCCAGCAACTCCTGCACGTGGCGCAGGGATGCTCCCGTTCTGTAGTAGATGGGTGGCGAAGCTGTGCCGCAGCGTGTGCGGCGTTATTTTCGGGTCCACGCCGGCGGCTTTCGCGGCCGTTTTCAGGATGTTCCACACCCATTGCCGCGTCAGCCGCTCGCCACGCTGGTTGAGGTACAGCGCCGTCTCGCCGCGCTTGTCGCTCAGGAGCTCAACGCGGGCTCCACCGATGTATTCCCGCAGGTTCGACAGGGCGTCCGGGTACAGGTAAACGATCCGTTCCTTGGAACCCTTGCCCCAGGTGCGGATGAATCCTTCCTCGAAATCGATGTCCTGCACGTTCAGCCCCACCAGCTCGCTCACCCGCAATCCTGTAGCGTAAAGCAGCTCCAGGATGCTGGCGTCCCGGCGCCCTTCCGGCGTACCGGTGTCCGCTGCCGTGGCCAGCAAACTCTTCACGTCCTCTTCTGAGATGTACTTGGGAACCGTCCGTCCCACCCGTGGCGAGCCCAGATTTTCCGTCGGATCCTCGGTTATCATCCCGTTTGCGCTCAGGTATCCGAAGAACGACCGCACCGCCGCCACCTTCCGGGCGGTGGTGGTGTCCCGGTACTTGCGGTTGTCCCGCAGTTCACTGATGTACGCGTTGAGCAGGTTGAGGTCCACCAGACGCCAAACTTCCTGGTCTTCGGAGTTCAGGTTGTCCGCAACGAACACCCGGAACTGGTTCAGGTCGTTGCTGTACGCGTCCAACGTGTTCTGGGAAAAACCGCGTTCAACGATGAGGTGTTGCAGAAACGAATTTACCGATTGCTTCATGATCTCCGCCAATGGGCTGATGTACCGCGCCCTCGCTCCGCCGTGCTTCACCGTCTGTCAGGTGGTGTGGCGGGCTTCTGCGTTATTCTTGTACATCCAAACCGCAGACGTCATTCGGCGAACGATGCGGGATTCGGCGATTTCCGGTTACACCAGGCTGAAAACCCCTACCGACGCCAGCGTAGCGATGGCTCCATGTATACTCAGGCTTGCGGCGACCGATGCCAACAGCCGGCCCCGGTTCATCCCGGCCACCTCCAAAGTCAGCGTGGTAACATACACTCCGGCCCACGGCGTGACGACCAGCACACCCCACACTCCCCAACGGTCCAGCGCCCGCAACAGTCGTTGGCTGCGCCGCCGCAGCATCCAGCGGACCGCCGACCGAACCGGCTCGGGGCGCAGGCGCAGCGTTGCCCTCAATACCCCCGTCCCGCGCTCCGCACGCCGAAAAAGCGCCGAAATCACCACCGCCGGCAGCATGTTGAACACCACGGAAACCACGGCGACCAGCGCCGGCTCCAATCCCAGTCCCACGCCCAGCGGTATGGAAATCAGTTCCTCGCCGATGGGAGATGCGGCGGTCAGCGCCACCGCTACATACTTGGCCCACAAACTCGCGGCCTCCCGAACCGGCTGACCATCCGGTCACCGGCGCCTCCCGTATGGCTGCTCGCAGCGACGACAAATAACCTTGGCATGACACAGTTAATTGTACTGGCCGTGGCGCTGCAAGGCGGCGGTGAACCTGCTGACCTGTCTTTCCTGGCCTATCTGGACGTGTGGTTGATCGGCGGGTTGGTGTTGCTCGCGGTGGTGGTTGTCGTGGGCAAATGGCTCTACGGGAGGTTCCGCCGCCGGCCTGATGATGACATGTACTATGACGAGAGGTACGACGACTACGACTATGAATGCTGACACGCTTGCCCGAGGCGTTGGCGGCACCGGCGCGGGGTCGGCAGCCGCTTTCCGCGTTTGACAGGATTCTGCGGATTTTATACCCTCGTCAACCAACGCCGGCATCAGGAGTACGTGAAGATGGTCACCCGAGGATTCTTCGGTCGTCGCCGCGAAACGCCCCCTCGTCCCATCCCGCCGGGTCAATACCTGGAACGGGGATTCCCGGTACTGACCGCGGGACCCACCCAGCGCGTCCCGCTCGACCAGTGGAGCTTCGTCCTGGTCGGCGCGGACGGGGAGCCCCTGGGTGAATGGAACTGGCAGGAATTTCGCTCCCTGCCCGAGACCGAAATTTTCACCGACATCCACTGCGTCACCAAGTGGAGCAAGCTGGATACCACCTGGAAGGGTGTCACCATTGATGATCTCCTGACCGCCGCCGGGATCACCGAGCCCCCACCGTACCTGATGGCCTTTTGCTACGGCGGCTATACCACCAACCTGCCCACGTGGGATGTGATTGAGGGTCGCGGCATGGTGGCCTTCGAGTTTGATGGGCAACCCATCGCCCCGGAGCATGGCGGTCCGGCTCGCCTGGTGGTGCCTCACCTGTACTTCTGGAAGTCTGCCAAGTGGCTGCACGGTATCCGTTTCATGCCGCAGGACCAGCCCGGCTTCTGGGAACAGTACGGCTACCACATGTACGGTGACCCGTGGAAGGAACAGCGGTACTGGGGTGATTAGTGCCTGACCCAAAGGCAGCTCCGGCCACGGCCTGGCAATCCGCCACCGTGGAGCGGGTTGCTGTCGAGACCTACCGCGCCAAGACCTTCACCCTGCGCCTCGCCGAGCCACGCCCGTTTCGCGCCGGGCAGCACTACGACGTCCGTCTCACCGCGCCCGACGGCTATCAGGCCCAGCGCTCTTATTCGGTAGCCTCCTCTCCCGATGATTTCGAGCTCATCGACCTGACGGTGGAGCACATCCCCGATGGCGAGGTCTCCCCGTACTTCCACGAGGTGGTGGAACCGGGCGATGTCCTCGAAGTTCGCGGCCCCATCGGCGGCCCCTTTACCTGGACGCCGGATCTGGCTGGCCCGCTGTTGTTGCTCGCCGGCGGCTCTGGCATCGTCCCCCTGAAATCGATCCTGATGCACCGGGACCTGGCCGCGCCGGAAACGCCCGCATTGCTCCTTTACTCTGCGCGCGGCCCGGAGGACATCATCTACCGGAAGTTCCTCGACCGCGCGGGCCGAACCGGCGCCGAGGTGGCCGTGCGGTGCGCGCTGACCAGGCGGCAGCCGCCCGGCTGGATCGGATATGCCCGCCGGGTTGACCCGGCCATGCTGCGGGAGTGCATCGACGAGCTGGTCGGGATGGACGGCAGCAACGCGGTTCCGTTGTGTTATGCCTGCGGGCCGACCGGATTCGTGGAGACTGCCGCCGACGCCCTGTTATCCATCGGCGTCAGCGAGTCCGCCATCCGTACCGAACGCTTCGGCCCCACTCAGTAGCCGGTCGCCAATTCCGCCAGCCAGGCGGCCACCGGAAGCGCGGTGGACCACAGGATCCCCGGCCTCAGCACGTAATCCGCCGCGATCAGCGCCACCAACAGCAGCGGGGCGAACCGCTGAAACCGCTGGTGTCCTTCTCCCGCAGAGGCCGGCAGCAGCGCGGCCAGTACCCGGTAGCCGGCCAGCGGCGCCAGGGGCAGCACCTGAAACGCGGCTTGCATGAGGTTATAGATGACCAGCAACCCGACCACGTCGGATATGCCGGAACGCAGGCCGCCCGTCATCACCAGCGTCAGGCTGTCCGGTGAGGGGTAGGTCCAACCCAGCAAGCCCGCCTTTACCGGCGACGCCAGCAGAAACGCCACCGTCAGGTTGCCCAACGGCCCCGCGGCCGATACCACAACCGACGTCCATCGCCCCTGTCTTCCCGGCGGTCCCGGCATCGGACGTCCCCAGCCGAACCCGGAAACCGTCGCCAGTATCATCCCGGCGATATCCAGATGACGCAGCGGATTGCCGAAGAGGCGTCCCTGTGCTCTGGGCGCGGGGTCTCCCAACACGGTGGCCACCAGCGCCTGAAACCATCCGCTGACCCAGATGGCGACGGCGCCTGAAATAGCGCAGAGCACCGCCAGGCGCACGAAGGCCCCAATATCTGCGGGCAGCAGGTTCGCGGACGATATAAGCATGAGCGGCGGCTATTTTACGCTATCGCCGCCGCTGCACCAGCGATATTCGCTGCGGATTTATCGCGTCATCCGATCGAGTTCAACCCTGCTCGACCCATTATCCAAAAGATACGCCGCCTGTGTAGTGACCCGGTAGCAATCCCCAAAGTATGTCCAGCAGCGGCCGCACTTCGTCCAAATCGAACCGGGCTAGTTCCAAGGTCATAAAGACCTCATAGAAGTTGCCGTGCAGACTCTCGGCTGACCGTAGACCCCGCATGATATCCACGGAGCGGTCAGGCATCTCATCGATCAGTGCGGTAATCACTTCCCGGATCGCCTCGTGGTCGTAATGCTCCCAATTCCGCAGCGTAGCCACGGCCTTGGTCAACTGGGCGACGGTACCCCAGCCCTTTTCTCCGGCCTGGCACACGTCACCTTCAGCCAGATACGCCGGCCACTTCGACCAGTAGTCCCGCGCCTGCTGCACGTGTTTCAGGACGCGGGCGTCCCGGCGGTCCGGCATCTCCGGCCGGCGTGTGCGTGGCGGCATGATCGGTCTATCCCGTCACTGCATCACCGCCGCCAGGTCGGGATGCAGCGCGTTCGCCTGCTTGTCGATGCCGACGTAGCGCAGCCGGGCCAGGTATTGGCGCACGTAGTTCGAGCGCAGCCGATTGACCGTCGTCATTCCCTCCGCCATACCGGCAACCGACCCACCGGCGATGATGGCCATGGCCTCCCACAGCACCGGGTCCTTCATCTCCCCAGCCATGTCCTTCTCAATGGAGCCCAGGATGCGCCGCAGCGATACGCCGAACTCGACGCCCTTCACGGCAATGGTGAGCTTCAGCATGGCCAGCCCGTAGGCCATGTGCCGAGCTTGTCCTGCAGGCTTAGGCTGAAAAGCTTGCGGTCCACGGCGTTGGTGGCGAAATGCGCTCCGAATCGGTATAGCAGCATCGTCAGCGTTGCCCGGGCGATGTACAGCGACATGGAAACTTCCGGCCAGCCGGCCCGCGTTTCCGCCATGCGCCGGCTCATCATGCCGGGCGATTCCAGTCCCAGCGCGCCGCCATTGCACAGGGCGCGGTGACGCATCGCCTCGAAGTGCCGCGCCGAGTCAAACTCCTGCGTGGCCAGGAACATCTTGGGTTCGATGTACGCATAGTTCATCCGGTGCAGCCACAGGCCGATGGTGTCGATCTCCGCAGTGGCGTGCTGGCCCAACTCGGTGCAAAGCTGGCACCACGCCAACTCCAGCGTCTCCGGTTGATCGGGGATCTGGTCCCAGGGAATGTCCTGCATGGCGTTCCAGCGCCGCTGAATCGCCTCCTCGTACAACCAGGCCGCGTTGTCCGACCACAGTTCGTCCTTGCGGTTCACGGAGTAGTTGTCCAGGCGGGGCATCCCCGGCGTTGCAAACGAACCCCGTGGCATCCGGGTCATCTCCCGGCTCTCCTCCGGGATTTCCCCATACAGGCCCACGTTTATCGCTTCGATCGTCAACCCGTGGGGCGTCAGGGGAGCGCGTGTACCCCACTGCCTGGTGTCCTTCATCCAGGGGAACCGCTCGGTGGGAGACTTGGGAGCTTCCGGTTCGGGTGTAGCCTCCGCGGTTTCGGCGGCGTCCGGCTCGGACACGTCGTTGTCGGCGACGTTCTGCTGGACGCGCTCTGCGGCGGACGAGCGATAGTTGCCGGTGGGGTTGCTGTCGTCAACGGGCTCGCCCGGGCTGCTGCCATTCTGCGGATCATTCTGCGTGGTCATATTGCGTCCTCTATAAGCGAAACGGCCCGCCGACCTAAAGGCGACGGACCGTCGGCAATTCCTTAGCGACCCATCTCAGCCGTTAGGTCTGATTGATAGTGTGGGCCAACGGATCAAGTTTGTCCAAAAAACGCCCAATGTCTTCCAATCCAGCCGCAACATCTTCCACGGTATCGACGTCTTCGTAGAAATTGATATGGAGGCTGTCGGCCACCCGGTACAGCCTGCGGATTTCGGCATCGCCCGTTTCGTCAGCCAGTCGGCTCGCCACCCGCCGGATCAGCCGGTGCCCCTTGTGTTCCCAACCTCGCTGCTCCGCGATGCACTTGAGCATTTGGGCCGTCGCGCCCCAACCTTTTTCCGAAGCCTGGCGCGTATCGCCCTGATTCAGTTCCGCAAACCCTTGGGCAAGCAGCGTCCTGCTGGCGTCTTGATACGTCTGTGCCTGCATGGATACAGCCCAGTCCGTGATCCCGTCTTCGGGACGCTGTCAACGATTTACGCTGCGGCTTGGTAGACCTCCAGCAGCGCCGGGTTCACCCGACCGTTCTCGATGCGGTCGTCAAAGCCGCACGACTTTAGCCGCTGGAAGTATTCCTTGACCTGCCGCTGCCGGATCGCCGCCAGGATCTTCTGGCCTTCTTCGGCCTTGTCCGCGCCGCCGCCCAGCAGGATGGCCAGCGACTCGGCGGTCAGGTTCGCGCTGCGGGCCGCCGGATTCTCGCCGCCGTTGCCCGTCGCCTGCCTATCTTCGGCCTCGTCCAGATACGCGTGGATCTCTTCCCGCCGCTCCGGCGTGCACTCGTTCATGTAGCGGGCGTGGAGCACGCCGAACGCCACGTGGCGCGCCTCGTCCTGCGCGGCCCGCCGGTAGATGGCCTTCTCGGCGTCGTTGTACGCCATCAACTCGCCCAGGCGGAACAGCGTCAGCACGTTGCCCTCGCCCACGATGTGCAGGCGGCTGGACATTTCGGTGAACTCCCGCGCGTTGTCGGTGCTGCCGCCGGTTACGTCACTCACCGAGTCGATCATCCGCATCAGGCCGCCGCCGTTGGCCAGCGCCCTCTTGCGGAATACTTCCATGTGGCGCGACTCGTCCATCACCTGCGTCAGCAGGAACATCCGCACCTCGTGGTAGTCCGGCGACATCTGCGAAATGAACCGTCCCGGCACGTCGGCGGCTACGAACTCAACCTGGGCGAAGAACGTGGCCAACTGGCACTGCGCCGCCTCGATGTCATCGGGCAGCGGCCGCAGCGTCTCCCATGGGATGTCCGTGGCCGAAGACCACTGCCGCGAGACCGCCTCCTGGTACAGCTTGGTCAGGTTGAAGCCCCAGACTTCCTTCTTGTCGCGGAAGGTATAGGCGGAGAACTGGGGTACTCCTTCGCGCGCAATGGCCCCACGCGTCCGCTGGGTCTGGTTCGGCGACTCGTCCAGCAGGTTGGAAGTGTTTTCCGCCAAGGTGGGATCGTGCGCCAGTTCTTCGTCGGCGCCCGGAACCTGGTCTTTGATCTGCTGGAGCCACGACAGGCTGAACCCGTTCTGCAGCGCCTGTTCCATCTCGACAGTGGTGCGGTCTTGCAAGGTAGCCATAGGTAGTCCTTCTTCGCCGAGTTCGACGGAATTATATCCGCAATGTACCCGATGGCGCGCCAACCGTCAGCAGGAACCTGTCCACGTTGAGCGCTGTAACGATTGCCGGAATTCGGCAAAGCATAGTGTTGCGGGCAATCTCTCACCGCCTGTTATCCCGTATTTAATCATATTGCTATTCAGGCTTTGAAGATGACAGTCAGTAACGCAAACAATTCGGCGGAACTTGGACGCAGGACAAGTTCCGTATTCTACGAGAGTATCTCGAAGTTATAGCACAGCCGACTGCGGGGTCGCTGAAACAGACAGCGCTTACCACCTGGTATATGTTGATGCCTTTGCCGGCACTGGGTACGGGTCGATAAAATCGGGATCCGTCGATTATCCACCTGAGACTCGCAGTTTCTGATGAACGAAATTGATGCCGATATTGCAGGTATTCTCAGGGGTCTACTCGGTTGTCCCTTGATGTAGAACGACGCGCCGCGTTTGACCGCAGTTCGTGTCTTGTGGAACCTATCTGGCGTACGCTGCTGCTGCACGCTGCAACGCTTGCGGCGGAATTTCCGCAGGCCGGATATCACGTCCAGACGGCGGACGCGACGTACGTTTTTGTGCCTGAATGGTGCGAGAGTCAAAACCGTCGTCTCGGCGGGCCGTTGGCGTGCGCCAACGTGCAGTCATTTTTGTTTCTCTTGAACCGACCAGTTTGTCACGGAGGTTGACTGCAAACCGCTTCAATCCATATCATAGACCAAGTCGTGTGGACCTGTGGATCGCTGTTCCCCCTGCCGCTCGGACCAGGATATTGCCGACAGAGCGTCAACTATGTGAAGAAGGGGCTGCCGTCTCTGGATAGAGTATATCGGAGATCGGCATGGCGGGGCCGTGCGTTCTATATGCAGCCCATGTGCACCCGCGCTATTATGGAGATGATCAGGTATTGACGCGTTCTCGTAGCGACCCGCAAGCGATTGTGGTAGACGCTTAGCTTGTCCACGCTCAGTGCCGTTTCGAGGACCGTGGCCCACCCGCGCCTCGTGGTTCTTGATTACTAGAATTCACCCCATGTTGCTTTATGTTTGCGCGCAGCAATCCGGTCGGGGTCGACAAATCGCTGTTAGGATTGCAGATCACCTGTTGAGAAACTGGTAACCCATGGCCGCATCCAAAATCGAGTGGACCGACGCAACCTGGAACCCGGTCACCGGCTGCAACAAGGTCAGTCCGGGCTGCAAGAATTGCTACGCCGAGCGTCTGTCCAAGCGCCTGAAGGCCACCGGGATGGAAAAGTACCGCAACGGCTTTGCCGTTACCCTGCACCCCGACACGCTTGATATTCCGCTGCACTGGCGGAAACCCCGCTCCATCTTCGTCAACTCGATGAGCGACCTCTTCCACGTCGATGTGCCCGACGAATTCATCGCCCGGGTTTTTGACGTGATGACCCGCGCTGATTGGCACCGGTATCAAGTTCTCACCAAGCGCCCTGAGCGCGTCGTAGGTTTGAATGCTCAACTGCCCTGGCCCAAGCAAATCTGGCAAGGCGCCAGTGTCGAGAACGCAGACTACGTGCACCGTATTGACCTGCTCCGCGAAACGGATGCCGCAATCAAGTTCCTGTCCTTAGAACCCTTGCTCGGTCCATTGCCTGATTTGAACCTGGCCGATATTGATTGGGTGATCGTGGGGGGCGAATCCGGCCCTGGAGCGCGTCCGATGGAAGCTGATTGGGCTCGAGATATCCGCGACCAATGCCAGGCCGCGGGCGTGCCGTTCCACTTCAAGCAGTGGGGCGGGGTTTTCAAGAAACGCCACGGTCGCGTCCTCGATGGCAGGACCTGGGACGATAGTCCGATAACGACCGTGATCCAATAACGATAGTGCGCCCCCGTCCAAACCGACGGGGGCGCACCGTGCGAACTGATTTGGACCGGGTGTCTAGTCCGGCGTCGTGCCCACCTCCGGCAGCGACATCTCCTCATCGGACGCCAGCATCCGGTTCACCGCGCTCAGGTACGCCTGCGCGCTGGCCACGATGATGTCCGTGTTGGCGCTGCGGCCGGAGAACATGCGACCGCTGTTCTCGATCCGCATCGTCACCGAACCCACGGAGTCCAGCCCCTCGGAAACCGCCTGCACCTGGAAGTCGGCCAGCCTGCTGGTGCATCCGATGACGCGATCAATGGCGCGGCACACCGCGTCCACCGGGCCGTTGCCCGTGGAGGCGTCGGTCTTGGCGTTGCCGTCCGGCCCGATGAGCCGCACCGTGGCGGTGGGAATGTCCTTGTCGCCGCCGGTGAAGTGCACCGTCTCCAGCGCGTAGGTCACCGGCTCCGAGGCCGTCCGGTTCTCCTCGTCCATCAGGATTTCCAGGTCCCGATCAGTCACCTCGTTTTTCTTGTCCGCCAGCTCGACGAACCGCTGGTACACGCTGGTCACTTCCTCGCGGTCCAGCGAGTAGCCCAACGCGTCCAGCCTGGCCTGCAGGCCGGCCCGACCGCTGAGCTTGCCCAGCACCAGCTGCACGTCCGGCGGCAGTCCGACCCGCTCCGGCTGCATGACCTCGTAGGTGGACCGGTTCTTCAGCACGCCGTCCTGGTGGATACCAGAGGCATGGCGGAAGGCGTTCTCGCCCACGATGGCCTTGTTGGCCTGCACGTTCATGCCGGTGATGCGGCTCACCAGGCGGCTGCTGGCGTAGATCTGCGTGGTATCCACGTTCAACTCAACGCCGAACAGGTCCTTGCGGGTGTCCAGCGCCATGATGATCTCTTCCAGCGAGGCGTTGCCGGCCCGCTCGCCGATGCCGTTGATGCAGCCTTCCACCTGACGGGCGCCCACTTCGATGGCGGCCAGGCTGTTGGACACGGCCAGGCCCAGGTCGTTGTGGCAGTGCACCGACAGGGTCACGTTCTCGATGCCCCGGACGTTCTGCTGGATGTCCCGCAGCATGGTCTGGAAGTCCGACGGGATGGCATACCCGACGGTGTCCGCGACGTTGATCGTGGTCGCGCCCATCCGGATTACTTCTTCCAGCATCCGGTACAGGTAGTCGGGGTTGGTGCGGGTGGCGTCCATCGGGCGAGAACTCGACGTCGTCGCAGTGGCCCTTGGCCCGGGACACCATTTCCACGGCCATGGTCATCACGTCTTCCCGGTCCTTGCGCAACTGGTGCATCTGGTGGATTTCCGACGAGGACAGGAATACGTGAATGCGGGGCTTTTCCGCGTTCTTGATGGCGCCCCACGCGGCGTCGACGTCTCCCGCTACGGCGCGGGACAGCGAGCAGATGATGGGACCGTGCACTTCCTCGGCGATCCGCTGGACGGCCTGGAAGTCGCCGGGCGAACTGGCGGCGAAACCGGCCTCGATGATGTCAACCTTCAGCCGGGACAACTGCCGCGCTATCTGCAGCTTTTCGTCCACCGTCATGCCGATGCCGGCAGACTGTTCGCCGTCGCGCAGCGTCGTATCCAAAAACTTTACTTGTGCAGCCATTTGGTTCCTTTCCCTCCATGGGGTTGGGCGCCCATCGTGTCCCTTCGTGGGATTGGGCGCATCAGCGTTGATCGTTACGTCGTACTTGTCGGGGAAAGGCTGGGCAGGCACACGCAGTCCACCACAGCCAGCCCTGCCAGGACCGGACTGCGATGGTGAACTGCTCTGCACAGTACCTCCATGCCCATGTGACACCTCCTGCTCGCTGATGCTGGGACGCCGGCACATCCCGGCGCCGGTCCACGATGCAAAATTACTCGATCTCGCGTGGGTTCATCCACGGCATCATCTCGCGCAGGCCCCGGCCCACCTCGTGGATCCGGCTGGTGCGCGCTTCCTGGCGCAGGCGCAGGAAGTTGTGCCTTCCTTCGTCGCACTCCGCCATCCATTCCTTGGCAAACGCCCCGCTCTGGATGTCGTCCAGCACCCGGTTCATGTTCTCGCGGACGTGGTCGTCGACCACCCGCGTGCCACGGGTCAGGTCGCCATACTCGGCCGTGTCGCTCACCGAGTACCGCATGTAGTTGAACCCGCCCTGCTGGATCAAGTCAACGATCATCTTCAGCTCGTGCAGGCACTCGAAGTACGCGATTTCCGGCGGATATCCCCGCTCCACCAGCGTCTCGAACGCCAGGTTGATCAGCGCGGTCACGCCGCCGCACAGCACCGACTGCTCGCCGAACAGGTCGCTTTCGGTCTCGTCCTTGAAGGTGGTCTCCAGCACGCCGGCGCGGGCGCAGCCAATGCCGGACGCATAGGCCAGCCCGATGTTCTTGGCGTTGCCCGTGGCGTCCTGGTGCACTGCCAGCAGGCACGGCACGCCGATGCCCTGCTCCACGAAGTGCTCCCGCATCCGGTGCCCCGGCGCCTTCGGCGCGATCATCAGCACGTCCACCGTCGGCGGCGGCACCACGAACTGGTAGTGGATGGTGAACCCGTGGGCGAACATCAGAGCCTTACCCGGTCCCAGGTTGGGTTCGATCTCGTCCCGGTACACGTCCTTCTGCACGTGGTCCGGTATGGCAACCATCATTATCTCGGCCTCTTTGGCCACCTCGGCCACGCTGCCGACCGCCAGTCCGGCGTCCCGCGCCACCTGCCGGCTCGCGCTGCCCTCGTACAGGCCGACCATCACCTTGATCCCGCTGTCGTGCAGGTTCAGCGCGTGGGCGTGGCCCTGGCTGCCGTAGCCGATCATCCCCACCGTCTTGCCTTCCAGGAAGGACATGTCGGCGTCTTTATCGGTGTAAATGTTCACTGCCATTTTATACTTTCCTTTGAGCGGCGCCGTGTAATTCATCATCCCAAGCGCCGGAATAGTTGTGTGTGCGGATTCTGTGAGTCAATCGTCTTTGTGATGTTTCGCAATAACTTGTTGATTGACCGGCTCAACGATCCTCTCCGGCAAGCCGGTTATTGCAGGCGCCTCGGTGCGGGCGTTGGGAGCATAGTGGTGCAACCAACCCGCATCAGTGGTAAGCAAACCCGGATGATAGAGATGAGTGAATGGCAATCCTCAGTTTCCCGCCTCGCGCTGGAAGCGGTCATCGTCCATCATAATGTAGCGAATCAGATCAATCAGCGGCCAGATACCGAAGAAGCCTCCGATCGTCAGAATGCGGGCGACGGCCTGAAGAGGTTTGTTCAGGTAAAATTTATCGGCCCCCAGTCCGCCCAAAAAGAAGACGAGGAGAATAGCTGTGGTCTTGCTTTTCATGACACCCGCTCAATGGTGATTGATTGGCACGGTTCTGTTTCGACTGTATCCGTTCAGACTCCCTCGTAGTGCCCCGGCGCCGAGTCAACTGCCTGCTCCGCCGTGGCTCCATTCCGTCCCATGATGACCGCGTCGGCCCCCACGTCGTCGCTGATCCGGCCGCCGGTCTTGCCGCGCACCATGGCGACGCGCCCGGTGCGCATCAACTCCAAGATGCCAAACGGCCGCAGCAGGTCGTACAGCGCGTCGATCTTTTCCTCCTCGCCCGTGGTTTCCACCACCAGCGACAGGGTGCCAACGTCCACCACCTTGGCCCGGAACAGGTTGATGATCTCCAGGATTTCGCTGCGGTTGGTGGGCGTGGTGCGCACCTTGATCAGCGCCAGCTCCCGTGCCACCACATCCTCCTCGGATATGTTGGACACCTTCACCACGTCGATCAGTTTCTCCAGGTGGCGGGTGGCCTGCTCCACGGTGTACTGGTCGCCGGTGACCACGAAGGTCAGCCGCGAAAGGCCCTTCTGCTCGCTGGCTCCCACCGCCAGGCTGGCGATGTTGAACCCGCGCCGCCGGAACAGCCCGGCCACCCGGGTCAGTACCCCGGGCCGGTCCTGCACCAGCGCGATGATGGTGTGCTGCTCGTTATGAGCTGTCAAGGGTCGCCTCCTGGATTCCTTTCCTTAGCGTATCCGGTGTGACTCATCGTCCCCGGATGATCCTGATGATTGAGTCGCCGTGCTGCTCTATAGTTGCCGGCCCGACGCCGGAGATTTCGCGCAACTGGCGAAGATCGGTTGGGCACTGTTCCGCGATCAGCGAAATGATTGCATTGGTCAGGACGTAAGGCGACATGCCTTGTCGCTCGGCTTCACCATCCCGGTAGCGCCTCAGGTCGCCGCGGATTTTTTCGCGATTAGGAGCTGTTTGTTGGGAGGTTCCAGTCGTTCGAGACGTGTTGCCGACATCAACCTGCAACATGGACTTGCTTAAGGCATCGCTGAGCTTTGCAGCTACTTCTTCGGCTGCGCCCCGGTTTACGTCAATGGTTTCACGGAGGAGCGGTTTGCCACCAGAAACCGAGCAGATCTGCCAGAACCGCCCGTTGGTGAGCACCGCCGTGCTGCCATCGCCCAAGCACTCGGCATATTTGCTGAGTTGCTCCCTGTAGTCAGGAGAGTATCCCCGATCCAATCGCTTTGCCTCAATGAACGCTACTGGCGCACCGTTGTACATTAGTGCGATATCCGGCCTCACGTTCCGATTGCCGGTTGGTCTATATTCCGTTCCAACCTGCGCCGGATCATGTATATCCCACCCTAAGCCGGCGAGCACCGGCATGATGAGATATTGAATGGTGCTGGTTTCGTGGTTCTCGCACTCTTGTTGGTGAAAGGTGAGGTTGGTGCGGGCTTGACCAATTACTCGTGCCGCCTCTGACGTTGGAGCAGTTACCTCCGGTTGGGGCTGTTGGTCCCAACCCTTGCTTTCGTCAGCGTACTGGTCACGTTGTTCCCGAATTTGTCCGGCCGCCGGCCGCCGTAGATTTTGTTGGTAACACTCCCTGCACACGGGGTATTCCGACGGTTTGTAGACGCCAGGGCAATTTGGACACTCATCAATTTGACCGGCCTGAGCCATACGATAGTGCTTCAAGCACAGCGGCTGGCCGGGGCGATGGGGTGGGTGATCGCAATCTTGATGGCCGCAAATTCCAGGGCCTGTAGGTATGCTGCTCATGGGATTTCGTTCTCAAATACGCGGCTAGCTGATGATGCTCTCGGCCTCGGGCTCTTCCAGCATCTCGTGCACCGACTCCCCGGCGGGAATCATCGGGTACACGAACTCGTCCTCTTTAACCACGAAGTCCACCACCACCGGCCCCGGCGTCTCCATTGCTTCCTGGATCGCGCCGGCCACGTCTTCCTGCTTGGTCACCCGGATACCCCGGATGCCGTAGGCTTCCGCCAGCTTCACGAAGTCGGGGTTGCCGCTGTAGATGGTGGCGAAGAAGTCCTTGTCGTAGAAGAAGTCCTGCCACTGCCGCACCATGCCCAGCGACCCGTTGTTCAGGATGGCGTACTTCACGTCGATCTTGTTCTCAACGGCCGTGGCCAGGTCGCACAGCGTCATCTGGAACCCGCCGTCGCCGGCGATGGACCACACCGTCTTCTCCGGCCGGCCCACCTTGGCTCCCAGCGCCGCCGGCACTTCGAACCCCATGGCTCCGCTGCCGCCCGACGTGATCAGCGAGTTCGGCTCCTTGTAGCCGTAGTGCTGCGCCGCCCACATCTGGTGCTGCCCGACGCCGGTCACGATGATGGCTTCTCCGTTGGTCTCGTCCGAAATCTGCTTCATCACCTGCTGCGGCAGCAGCACGTCCGACTTGCGGATGAACAGCGAGGGATGCTCCGCCCGCAATGTGTCAGTTTCCTTGATCCAGTCCAGGTGCACGTTGGGTTGCACCATCGGTATCAGCGCGCGCAGGCTGTCCTTCAGGTCGCCCAGCACCGGCGCGTCGGCCACGATGTTCTTGTTGAACTCCGTGGCGTCCACGTCAACGTGAATGATCTTGGCGCCGGGCGCGAAGTCGCTGAGCCGCCCGGTAACCCGGTCGTCGAACCGCGCCCCCAGCGCTATCACCAGGTCCGATCGGTCGATGGCCAGGCTCGCGTAGGCCATCCCGTGCATCCCCGGCATTCCCATGTTCAGCACATGCTCGGTGGACATCGCGCCGATGCCCAGCAGCGTGGTGATCACCGGGATCTGCGCTTTCTCCGCCAGTTCCCGCAGCTCGTCCCACGCCCGAGAGATCAGGACGCCGTGCCCGGCCAGGATCACCGGCCGCTCCGCCTGGTTGATCAGGTGGGCGGCGACCCGCACCTGGCGCGCATCCGGCTCACCCGGCGGGTTGTAGCCGGGCAGGTCCACCTCGGCCGGCCACTCGAACTCAATCTTCTCGCCGGCCAGTACGTCCTTCGGCACGTCGATCAGTACCGGGCCGGGCCGCCCGGTGCGCGCGATGTAAAAGGCTTCCTTAATGGCCGGCGCGATGTCCCGCACGTCCATCACCAGGTAGTTGTGTTTGGTTACCGGCAGCGTGATGCCCGTGATGTCGGTCTCCTGGAAGGCGTCGCGGCCGATCGCCGCCCGCGGCACCTGCCCGGTGATGCACACGATGGGCACCGAGTCCATCTGCGCCGCCATCAGTCCGGTCACCAGGTTCGTTGCCCCCGGCCCCGAGGTGGCGGAGCATACCCCCACCTTGCCCGTGGCCCGGGCGTAGCCGTCCGCGGCCATCGCGGCGGCCTGCTCGTGCCGTACCAGGATGTGGCGCAGCTTGGGATAACCGGACAGCGCGCCGTAGAACGGCAGTACCGCGCCGCCGGGCAGCCCGAATATCGTGTCCACGCCCTCGCGCAGCAGGCTTTCGCAAATGATCTCCGCGCCTGTCATTTCCATATTTCGGCTACTCCTGTGGTCTCTCCGGGTTCCGGATCGGTCGGGGCATAAAAAAGCCCGACCCCGAAGGGACGGGTTGTGATTCCCGCGGTACCACCCTTCTTTTCCACGTCCCGCTCATGCTATCGAGCGCTCCACGTGGAACTCTTTGTACACAGCCATTATCGGAGCCGACCCGCCCGCCCTACTCACGCTTTCGCGCTTCAGCCGAGACGCTCCGGGGCGAGTTCAGCAATTCCGGCCACCGACTTCCACCAACCGTCGGCTCTCTATGCGGCCTTCCGCGCCTACTACTCCCCATCACCGCGATTTAACTGCCGGGTATCCTATCATCGCCCTCCTACAGTGTCAACGAAAAGTGCGGGCTCACGCGTACCCACTTTGCACAATCGGTCATTGCGAGCCACCGCCCGGTCATGGCGAACCACCCCTCGGCCATGGCGAGCCACCCCTCGGCCATGGCGAGCCACCCCTCGGTCATTGCGAGCGCAGCGTGGCAATCTCGTCGCCGCAGGAATCCTCGCTCAATTCAACGAGATCGCCACGTCGTTGCGCTCCTCGCGATGACAAAGCGGGTACGCGTGAGAAAGTGCGGGTTGCGACGGGCAACCGCGTTTGGAAATTAACGGCCGGTTACTCCGGGGGAAAGCCGGAGTCGGGAGGCCGCAAAACGCAGGTATCGGCAACGACACCGGCGGTCTCGGCGGCTGGAATCCCGCGTTCGCGGGAACGGCGGCAGCGAGCGGTGAGGGTACCAGGGCAATCGCAGTTGAAATGCGATTGCCCGGTGGGTCCTCCGCAGTCGATGGAAAGCGGTCGATGGAAGGTTGAAACTCCTTTGTAAAACTCCTTTTACGGTTGGGCGTGTTGTTGAATGTTGAACATCGGGGCTCGGGTATTGGGGTCCAGGTTGTCGGCGCCACGGCCAGACGGCGTTGTCTGCGAAATTCCAGTGCCAAGCTTCCATGTCCCGGCTTTCGCGGCGTGCGCTAGAGCCGACACGGGGCGGAGGTCACACCCGCCGCGCCACCGCGCATCCGTTCCGTTGAATAAGACGGCGTGAGGACGCGAGGCAGCGAGTTGCATATCCGACGCGCCGCAGACCGGAGCCCGCGGCGGTTTCAGGCCGTTGAACCTGGACCCGTCAACCCGATATTCCCGATGTTGTGTTCAGACGGGTGGACCGGCCATCCCCGGCGCCAGGGAGTACGGACGGCGGAACCCAGTACACGCTTCCCCGTCCCATTGGGGTCCACATATCTGACTGGTGTACAGGTTACAGGACGGGCGTTCGTTCGCGCTTGGGGTGGGTGTCAGCAATTTTTGTCCGGAGTGGTGGTGAGGGGTGCAACGGTCCGCGGGAAGGGCCGATGCTGCGGCGACGAGATTGCCACGCTGCGCTCGCAATGACAGTTCGGAAGGGGCGCTCGCAGTGACGGTTGGTCTCGCGGTGACGGTTGGTCTCGCAGTGACGGTTGGTTAGGGTATTGGAATGGCGGTTGGCAGGGGCTCGCGATGATAATGGGGAGGGTAGCGCGATGACGAACTGGGGACAGGTGAGACCCGGAGTCCGGGTGACAAACTGGCGTTGACCCGTTGCGCACTCGCCTCTACCATGCCTATCACTCAACACCTCGTCCCACTCAACACCTCGTCGTGGAGGGCGACATGACCGTCCAGCAACCCCGCCATAGCGAACCCAGCGCCAACAACGAACTTGGCGACCTGCTGCGCGGCATGCTGTTCGGGTGCCAGGTGCGTTCGGAGAACACGCAGCTCATCGATGGGCAGCCCAGCCTCCAGCTCGACAACCTGATCACTGCCCCTGACCGGGCTCCGGTAGTGGTGGAAGCCGAATACGCAGCCCTTGGGTCCGGCGAAGCTGACGCATTGGGAAGGCTGGGGCTGCCGGTGGTCAACGAGACCCATTCCATAGAAGCCGCCATCGCACTGCGTTATCCGGATTCAGTCAGGTTTGCGGATGATCTCCGTTCCGCCCTGAATTCCGCCCGGTTGTCTTACGCCGTGTTTTACGACGACGATGACAATACCCGCTTCCCGGGGTCGGGATGGCTCGAAGGCTCGGTGTCCGATCTGGCCGACCTCATCCGGCTGGTCTCGGTTCCCCATAAAGCCGTGAACGCCGCCGCGGACGCTCTGGAAGATGGCATCGACAAAGCGGCGACCATCCTCAACCAAATGGCGGAAAACCGCCGCAACACGTCAGCCGCGATAGCGCGGCTATTGGGCATGGCGGATGTCACCCAAACCCGCCGCATGGCCTCCGCAATCCTTGCCAACGCCCTGGTGTTTCACGAGCGCATCGCGGGGATGCACGACGGCGTCAACAACCTGGAACTGGTCTGCGGTCCCGACGTGTCGAATCCCAAGTCGGCGACCCTTGCGGCCTGGGCGACGATCCTGGACATCAACTACTGGTCCATCTTCGCAATCGCACGGGACATATTGACCCAGTTGCCGGCCAGCGAAGCCAGTCGGGTCCTGAACGTGCTGCGCAATACCGCGGAGGAGTTCGGCGCGACCGGCGTCAACAACGCCCATGACCTGACCGGCCGCATCTTCCAGCGCCTGATTGCTGATCGCAAGTATCTGGCCACCTTCTACACCCTGCCGGCGTCGGCCGCTTTGCTGGCTCGCCTGGCGGTTGCCAAGATGGATGGGATCGATTGGTCCGACGGCGAGGCCATCGGCAGGCTGCGGATCGGAGATTTCGCCTGCGGTACGGGCGCACTGCTTTCCGCCGTTTACGATCAGATCGCGGCCCGTCACGAGCGAGCCGGAGGAGACCCGTCCGCCATCCACGTCCAGATGATGGAGGAAGTTCTATACGGCTGCGATGTGATGCCGTCCGCGATCCACATCACCGGGTCCACATTGTCGGGCGCGTACCCCGACACGCAGTTCGCCCAGTCACGCCTGTACACGCTGGCTTACGGACGACAGCAGGATGACAGCGTGAAGATCGGTTCGCTGGAATTGCTTCAATCGTCGGCGGCTCAATCGTTGTTCAACACCAGTGACCCCGCAATGCGAACGGGGAGCGTGGGAGAGCAGACCGCCGCCCAGATAACCGCCGACATCGCCGACGCGTCCTACGATTTGGTCATCATGAATCCCCCGTTCACTCGTGCCACGAATCACGAAGGCGCCCACGCTGATATTACCAACCCGGCGTTCGCCGCCTTTGACGCCTCTCCGGCAGATCAAACAGCGATGGGCCAGCGCGTCAACAATCTGGGGAAAGGCACGTGCTATCACGGGAACGCAGGTATAGCTTCAGGTTTTGTCGCACTGGCGGATCGGAAGCTCAAGGCGGGTGGTGTACTGGCGTTGGTTCTCCCGCTTTCTGCGGCGTCCGGTTTATCCTGGCAAGAATTTCGCGCGATGTTGGGGAGCAGCTACGCAGGTTTGGAGATATTGAGCATAGCCGCCAACGGTCAGGAGATGTCCTTTTCCTCTGATACGGGCATGGCTGAATGCCTCGTCGTCGCACGTAAACGCGACCCGGCAGAACCGGTCGCTACCCGTGCCCGATTTTCCTCGTTATTCCGACGCCCGTCCGGGTTTGCCGCCGCGGCAGCTTTGGCCTCTGATATAAATCGCTTGGACAAACCGCGGGCGATCGACGATGGGCCCTACGGGGGCACAACACTTCGCATCGGCGACGACGATGTGGGCGGGATCAACTCCGCTCCCTTGCCCGAAGGCGGCGGCAATTGGGGCGGAGTTCGTATTCAAGACTTTTACTTGGCCCAAACAGCCTACGCGCTAACTCAATCGAGACTGTGGCTGCCGGCGCAAGCCGCCGCTCTTGACTTGCCGATTTCCGACTTGAGCAGTGTAGGCAAGCTTGGCTTGGTCGATCGTGATCTCAATGGCCCAGCACCTAGAGGCCCTTTTGAGAAGGTGCCCCCAAGCCCCAGTGCAACCTATCCAGCTCTTTGGAACCACAGTGCCAAGAGAGAAAATTACATAATTTGCGAGCCTGATTCTCAGCTGGAGATTCGCACAGGTATGGAAGACAAGGCGAAAGTAGTATGGTCTACCGCCAGTCGTTCGCACCTTAACCGAGAATACACGTTTGGCGCTCAGCCACTCGCCGCTGCGTTTACGGAGCGCAGGTCCATAGGTGGTACTGCTTGGCCGAATGTTTCTTTTGACGACGAAGCATTCGATTACGCGTTCACGGTTTGGGCCAACAGCACATTAGGGTTAGTGTGCTACTGGTGGCACTCTAGTCGCCAACAGTCCAGCAAAGCCCGCATGACCATTAGATCTGCCGAACTTCTGCCTGTATTGGACTTGCATCGGCTCACCGACGCCCAACTGGCTGCCGCCAAATCCATCTTCGACGATTTCCGCGAATTGGAACTCAAACCGGCCTACCTCGCCGACGCCGACCCCACCGCGCCCTCCTCGACCGCCGTGTCATCTGCGACCTGCTCGGTTTCGATGCGGGCGTCTACCAGGCTGTCCGTCTCCTCTCGGCCAAGTGGTGCGCGGAACCCTCCGTCCACGGCGGCAAGGCCCGCCCCAAATCCGCCTCGCTGATTATCTGACACTCCCGCCCTTACGTTTTGGCAAATGTCGTTGCGAGAAGCGCAGCGACGCGGCGAACCTGTCGTCAGGGCGAACCTGTCGTCAGAAGGATGGTTCCTCCGCCAACGGGATTGCCGCGCTGCGCCCGCAATGACCGTTGGCCGGGGTCGCAGTGACGAGGGCAAATGCGCGCGGAATGGCGGCTTGAATGCCGGCGGGTACGCGTGAGGCCAGCCCCATCGTTGACACTGCGCCGGCCTGCTGGTACGGTATTTCGGCAAACTGTGCCGCATTCTGTCTGGACGCCGCATCTGGTCCGCGCCGACCGCCGCACAAATCGTAACCTCGAGGGAGATCCCATGCACAAATCACGCAGATTGCGCTCGTTGCCGGCGGCTTCCCTGCCGTGGCGAGCGGTCTTTGCCGCCGCCGCCGTCGCCCTGTTGATGACGGTGGTTGCCGCCTGTGGCGGCGGTGAGCCGGAGGCCCCCGCCAGCTCGGGCGCCAGCGGGGGCGGGGCCACCGCTCCGGAACCCACCGCGATGGCTGCGGAGCCGACGGCGGCCATGGCCGAGAACACTCCCACGCCCGTGCCGCCGACCCAAACGCCGCTGCCCGCCGCAGCAACCCAGGAGGCCCTGGTCCTGCAGGTGGTCTGCATCAACCGAACCCTGCGCCCCTGCGAGCTCATCCGGGACTTCTATTCTCCCCGGGTCAGTGAAAGGACCAATGGCGAGGTTACGGTCGAGATCTCGTCTTACCCCGAGCTCGGCCTCGCCGGCCCCGACACCATTCGGCTGGTCGCAGACCAGACCCTGGAATTTGCCGAGATTTACTCCGGATACGTCGGCGGTGACCTTCCGATCATTGACGTCGGAAACCTCTGGGGCCTCTCCCCGAGCAACGACGCGCACCTGGAGCTCACCGACGCCATTGAAGACGACATGATTCGCATCCTCCGGGACTCCACCGGCGGCGAACCCATCTTCCGCGCGTACTATCCCAATCAGTATGTCTTCAGCGGTGAGCCCCTGCCGGATCTTGCTTCCTACAAGGACAAGAACATCCGCCAGCACAGCACCATCCTGGGCGACCTGCTGGCCGGCCTGGGCGCGGCGGGTCAGTTCGTGGCCTTCGCCGACGTGTACACCGCCCTGGAACGCGGCGTCCTTGACGCCGGCATCACCGGCGGCACTCCCGGCTACGGCCAGCGCTGGTACGAGGTCACCGACTACCTCTATGGCCCCATCGTCGGCTCCATCGGCGTGACCTACGTTACCGTCAACGGAGACAAGTGGCGTCAGCTTACCGCCGAGAACCGCGAAATCCTCAAGGAGGTGGGCGAGGAGTTCGAGGCCGAGAACCTCCGTCTCCTCAAGACGGATTGGGACCCGGCCGGCATCAGCCTCAACGTCGCCGAGGGCATGGAATATTCTGACTTCCCGGACGACGTCAAGGCCCAGATGCGCGACACTGCGCTCAATGCCATCATTCCCAACTGGGTCGAGCGCGCCGGCGGAGCCGACTCCGAAGGCGTCAACATCTTCAACGAAAAGGTCGGCCCCATCGTCGGCGTGGTCATCAACCCCGACGGCACGGCCAGCGAGACCACCGCGATGATGTCGCCCGGCGCGATGGATTGCGGCAGCGACCGCGGCGTCGGCGAGGTCTGCATCAGCGTCGTTGACTCCTCCACCGGGGAGAAGGAAGCGTTCGCCTCCACCCAGTGCGACGGCGATGCCGCCGCGTCCGTTCCTGACAGCCACGGCGGCGGCAGCCCCGCCGGTTGGTCCTGCGGCGTGGAGAGCGGCATCAACTTCAACCTCACCCCGCTCACTTCCTCCGGTGAAAGCTTCGAGTTCCAGATGGCCTGCATCAACCGCACCCTGGTTGACTGCGGCCTCGCCATCGGCAACTACTCCGAGACCGAGGACATCGGCTTCGTCGAACGCGTCAAGCGCCGGACCAACGGCCAGGTCGTTTTCGAAATCTCGTCCTTCCCCGAACTCGGTATCGCCGGCCCCGACTCGCTGCGCCTCATCGAGGACGGCACGCTGGACTCCGCGCAGATCTACTCCGGCTACGTCGGCGGCGACTTCCCCATCATGGACATGAGCAACCTCTGGGGCCTCTTCGCCAGCCAGCAGGACCAATTGGACGTGATTGACGCCATCCAGCCCAAGATGGCCGAGGTCACCGCCGAGAACGGCGGCATCCAGATCGCTTACATGATGACCGCCCACAACTACATCTTCGCCAAGCCCCAGGTCAGCGACCTCGAAGACCTACAGGGTCTCAAGGTCCGCAGCCACAGCACCGTGCTCAGCGACCTGCTGTCCGGCATGGGCGCCGACCCGCAGTTCATCGCCTTCGCCGACGTGTACACCGCCCTGGAACGCGGCGTCATCGACGGCGCAATCTCCTGCGGTTCCTGCGGACACGGCCTGCGCTGGTACGAAGTCGCCGACTATCTCGTCGGCCCCATCGTGTCCGTTGGCCACAGCTGGTTCGCCGTCAACGCCGACCGCTGGAACCAGATGCCCAAGGACCTGCAGAACATCGTTCTGGAGGAAGGCGGGCGTCACGCCTACCTGAACCGTCAGCTGCTCTTCGAGCACTTCGCTCCCAACGCGGTCAGCGAGAACGTGAAGGAAGGCATGGCGCTGGTGGAGTTCACCCCTGAGATGCAGGCTGCCCAGCGGAAGTCCGCCATTGAGAACGTCGTGCCCGGCTGGGTCGAGCGCGTCGGTGGCGCCACCTCCGAAGCGGCCATCATCTTCAACGACGTGGTGGCCCCCATCGTCAAGGTGAAGATCAACGCCGATGGGACGGCGTCAGCCACCGAATAACCCCACTGGTCACGGACGCGCTAATTGCGGGGCGAGTATGATACTCGCCCCGTTTTTGTATTACGGTATGTGTCTTCCGAATTTACGCTTTTCGTCAATATATTGCTGCGTAATATCTTAAAACACTCCTTTGACAACCTTATAGCGCTGGAATAAACTTGCGCCCGGCTCAACTCAGCCCGTTATTGCTTGGACACACGGACCAATTTCTTGGTACGGAGGGAACATGATGGACGCAATTACCTGCGCTACCCGCAAAATGGGGATGAGAGTCCTTCTGCCGCTCCTGCTCTGCGTGCCGGTCATCGCGCTGCTGGCGTGCGGCGGCGGCGAACCCGCGCAACCCCAAACCGGCAGCGGGGCGGCGGCTCCGGAACCCACCGCGATGGCTCCGGAACCCACCGCGATGGCAGCCGAACCCACCGCCGCCATGGCCTCTGAAACCACGTTGGAACCCAGGGCGAGAGTTTCGAGTTCCAATTGGTCTGCATCAACCGGAACGTGGCTGCCTGCGAACTCGTCGACAGCTTTTTCGTCCCCGAGGTCGCTAAACGCACTGACGGCCAGGTCCAGTTCAACCTGTCTTCGTTCCCCGAACTGGGGATCGCCGGGGCCGACACCCTGCGGCTCGTCGCAGACAACACGCTGGAGGTCGCGGAGGTGTACAGCGGATACGTCGGCGGAGACCTCCCGTTGCTGGACGTGGGCAACCTTTGGGGCCTGTCGCCCAGCGAGGAGGCTCACCTGGAGCTGACAGATGCCATTGACGCTGAATTGGTGGCTGCTCTCAAGGAGACCACCGGTGGTCAACCGATCATGCGCCACTACTATCCGAACCAGTTGATTTTCAGCCGTGAGCCGCTGGACGACCTGGCCGCTTTTGAAAACAAACAGATCCGGCAGCACAGCACCATCCTGGGCGACCTGCTGGCCGGCCTCGGAGCCGAGGGCCAGTTCGTGGCCTTCGCCGACGTCTACACTGCCCTCGAACGCGGCGTTCTCGACGCCGGCGTAACCGGCGGCGAGCCCGGACACAGCCAGCGCTGGTACGAGGTCACGGATTATCTGTACGGCCCCATCATTGGCTCGGTTGCCGTGGCCTACTTCACCATGAGCAGTGATTCGTGGAGCCAACTGCCTCCCGATATCCAGCAAATCATCCTGGACGTGGGCAAGGAACACGAAAAACTGGCCCGCAAAACCCTCATCGAAGAATGGAATGTGTTCAGCGTGGAGGCCAACGTGGAGGCCGGCATGATTCACCGGCCCTTCAGCGACGAAGTGCAAAACAAAATGCGAGGAAGTGGCCTTGAACGTGATTCTGCCCAACTGGGTCGAGCGTACCGGTGGACCCAACAGCGATGCGGCGCAGCTGTACAACGATAAAGTTGCTCCCATCCTGGGCGTCGCCATCGACCCCGACGGCACCGCCAAGGAACTCAACTAATCTTCCCAAAGCCGCCAAACGTAGGGGCGGGCTTCAAACCCGCCCCTCATATCTGAGCATGCGACATTTTCGTGACATTCGCGGTCGTTGGTCTTCAAACCCCAATATATGGGCGTATTTCCTCTTGGGTGGTGTCGCGAACATATAGCGGCTACGCACCCCGGCGGCGAATCTCCCTTGTCTCCTATAACGCCGCTGGTCCCTTATTCAGGGACAACTGACCCCAGGTCGGACCGCTAGATGTTCCACTGGATCGCAGCGAGAATCGCACTGGTTGACTTTTATCAGACCCGCCAATATAGTCCCAACTTGCGTGTCAGGTAGGAGGATTCTTGTCCTTTTGCTGCTTCACATCTCCTGAATTGAATAATTCGCCGGCATGGCGTTCACACCTTCGCCTGCTTACCGGAGGCGCCAGTTGACCACACAACCTGCAGCAACCCCCGCGCCGATTCTGTTGACCCGGTTCATTTACAAGATTGACGGCGCCCTGGACTGGGTTTACCGCATATTCGGATACATCTGCGGTAGCCTCCTGCTGCTCCTGGGCATCTACATCACCTACCAGGTGATTGTTCGCAAGATTGGCGGACCCGTCCTGGGCAACCAGGAGTTGATCGGCGGCTACGTTCTGGCCTTCGCCGGCACTTGGGCCTTTTCCTACTCCCTGCGCACCGGGTCCCATGTGCGCATCGACGTGCTGCTGCCCCTCTTCTCGCGCATTCATCCTTACATGCGCTCGGCGGCTGACTGGCTGGCCCTGGGGTCCGTGGGATTCTTTGGCGGTGTTACTGCCTGGTATGCGTGGAAAGAAGTACTGAAATCGTATTGTATTCGGAATTCGGCCGGTATCCCATCCAGTGGAACGGATCGGTTCGTGATGAATCTGCTAGGCGAAGACGACCCCGGAAAACTCAACTTGGCCTGCGAACCTGCCTGGCTAACACCTATCTCATCGGGAACTTCCTGCCGAACTCTGGATGTTCCAGATGATCGTCGCCGTCGGCTTCACCATGCTCGCCTTCACTTCGTTCCAGTGGATGCTCAGCATGATCCTGCGCGGCCTCCTCGAACTTTGGCACAAGAACTCGGCGTGCAACGTTGCCGACTCGCGGCTGACGCTGACGTCATGCAGGAAGCCGCCTCCGGCGTGTAACCGCTCAAACTTCTTCGCACAACCCTTCTCTCGCACAACCTTCCGACGCCACGGCAGTCGCCTCTCCGTCGGCACCACTGCACGAAAGGACTGTAAACATGGCATCATCGCCGCATTCAGCATGATGGAGTTTTCTTCCTGATTGGCCTCTACGTCGCCGGCGCCCTTGGTGTGCTG